GCAATCGAGCAGGGTTCCTCTTTCCCCACAGCCCCGCCAGTATTTATTGTTGGTTGATTTCATGATAGCAGTTATTCTTTCTGGAGTGAAGTGGAATCTCAGTGTTGTTTTCATTTGCATCTCTCGAATGACCAGTGATGTTGAACATTTTTTCATATGTTTATTTGCCATGTCTATTTCTTTGTGTGAGAAATGTCTGTTCATTTCAGAGGCCCATTTTTAGATTGGGTCTTTAAATTTGGGAGGTCTGATTTTTTTTAAGTTCTTTAGGATCTTTTTTGTTTTATTTTAGTCAAGTAGGGATAGAACTTACAAATTTTATAAAAGCGGGCCGGGGATTTAGCTCAGTGGTTCCGCCGCCTGCCTTGCAAGCGCAAGGTCCTGAGTTCGATTCCTGATCCAAAAAAAAAAAAAAGTGCCTGACAAATTTTACAAAAGCCATTGTTAAAATTATAAGTAAAAAAATCTTTTGACTGGAGAAAACTGCAATGAATAAAAATGGTAGGTATCCATCATGATTAACTTCCATAAAGATATATTTTAGAAATGTGAAATGGTCCTTTCTTGGGCTAAGATCCAGAAAGGGTCCTCTGGAATGGCTATTCTCCAGGTGTGTTCCACAGAGCCCATGATGCCAGTAAGTTCTCCTCAGATGTATTCATTTCCTCTTCCTGCTATAAGAAATCACCACAAGGACTGGGGACTTAGGGGTACAGAATTATTTTCTCTTTTTTTTTTTGTACCAGGGATTGAACTCAGGACCTTGCACTTGCCAGGCAGGCAGCAGAATCACTGATTTAGCTCAGTGGTACTGCTGCCTGCCTGGCAAGTGCAAGGTTGTGAGTTCAATCCCCAGTACCAAAAAAAAAAAAAGAGAAAGAAAAAGAAAATCACCAAAAATGCAATAGCTTAAAATAACACAAATTTATGTCTTAAAATTGTGGACATAGAGAGGGCCTTGTTTGGCTAATAGCAGGTGTCCACAGGAATGTGTTCCTTTTGGAGGCTCTGTGGAGAATCTGTTTCTTGCCTCTTCCAGCTTCTAGAGGTAGCCTTCAATCCTTGGCTCAAGGCTCCCTCCCATCCTCAAAGCCATCGATGGCCAGGGAGTCTTTCTCACATCCTATCACTCTGACTGTGACTCCTGACACATTTCTTCATTTATGAAGACCTTTGTGAAAACACAACAAACAAAAAAGAATAGAAACATGAGAAGACAAGACTGCAACATGTCTCGCAAAGCCAATTGAGGGGGGAGGAATACAAAAGCTGGAATTGAGTACTCAGACTGAGCCCAGGGCCTGTGCCTGCTCTACCACCAAGCCACATGCCTAGCCCAAGGCACAGAGTTTTCGATGTCTTCCTGTGCATGGAAGCGTGAGGACTGTTGCTGCAGTTCCTTTCTCTCTGGCACCATAGCATTAGATTGTTGACAAGTCCAATGTGACAGCAGACTTTCTGTTTCACATTTTTTTCAGACTGTGAGCCAAGGTTGCCCATTTCTAGGATGCCCAGCTCCATAAAGCTTCCTCTAACATCCAAGCTGCTTTTGTTTTGTACTACAAGCATAAACAACCAGTATAAAACAAGGTTATTCGGTTGAAATATATCTTTGAGGGAGGTACAAACCTTTTCAAACCACCTGCTCTATGAATCTCCATGCTGGTGTTTCTCAGGAAAAACTGGTGGACAGCCCTCCTCAGTGCTATACTTGTTTTTCTTTCAGTTTTTTCTTTAAGACAGGGTCTCACTGTGTAGTCCAGGCTGGGCTTGAATTCACTATGTAGCCCAGGCTAGCCTCACACTCCTGACAACCCTCCTGCCTCAGCCTCCCAAGTGGTGGAATTATAGGCATGCACCACCATACTCCATAACTTTCTCACACAAGTTCACAACAGCTTCTGAGTTCCACCCTATTCTCACAAGAAGTAACATCATGGATTTGTGAGCATTCTTGACCTTCTTCGGCAGTTTACAACAATGCATGATATGGACAAATAGATATTATCTTTGTCATTCACACTGATCGATGAGGTTGACAGCAAACCTCCACTTATGGGGCTTGCTGTGTGCCGGAACCATGCTAGCTTCTGCACGGCATTATCTGGACCAGTGGTAGTGAACCTATGGCATGTATGCTGCAGCGAGCACAGAGCCCTCTCTGCTGGCACATGAGCCAAGTCACCCCAGCATCACCCCAGCAGCCAGACACTCAGGTTTAATAGCAAGGTTTGCAGTTTGTGATAATTAAGTGTGTTTGGGGTTACAGTTTGGCACTCTGAGTCTAAAAGGTTCACTGTTACTGCTCTAGAAAATTTCTTCCAGATATTTGAGAGGCTTTTTTTTTACCCCATGTTGCAAATTAAGAGTATGACTTTTCTGAGATCCCCAGTGTTCCTCACTGTCTTTGTGGCTGAAACACATCTAACATCCACAAGTTAGAGGAGGAAGGTTTAGTTTTGTTTTGTTTTGGCTCACATTTTAGTAGTCTTAATCTTGCATGGTCAGTGGGCTCCAAGGCAGGATGCAAGGACAGGCCACAGTGGAGGAGAGCTGCTCGAACTGGCATGGCAGACAGGAAGCAGAGAAAGCTGAGGGAGGAGGCAGGAAGGGGACAGCAGCCTCCAGGTCCCAGAATGATAACCAGCCTCTTCCAAGTGACCAGTTTTGGGCCTGTGGCAACAAAGAACATCGAGGTCATAGTGTATGGTGGAGCTGCTCACTTAATAGCAGCCAGAAAGCGGAGAGTAGAGGAGTGGGGTCCAACATGCTCTTCAAGGCCATACCCCCAACAACCTACCTTCCTCTCACCAGGGCACAGCTCCGCCCAGTAGTGCCAAGCTGGGGAACCCAGCATTCAACACACTGGCCTTCAGGAGACATTTAGGGACCCAGCTCATTGGCCGTCCATCATTACACTTGATACAGCCTGGGCAAACACTATTGGATGGGCATGTGCATGTGCATGTGCACATGCACGTGTGTGTGCATTAAACTGGACAGCCGGGACTATAGATGCAGGTTCTTTAGTTTCTATGAAGGAAACCTCCTCCCCGCCCCCAGCTTTAATCTTAAATTAAGAAATTAACTTGAGATTATAAATCAGCCTCTTATTAATTGTTTAACAGTATCTGAGCCTTAATTACCTCAGGGAAACTAATAAAACTGGGGTTGATACCTACTCAAGCTAAATGCTGGACTCTGGCCCACTGTGAATGCACCTAGGGCTGGCTGAAGCCACGCTCGTCTGCAGAATGCTTAGCTGCAGCCATGGGACATGTGCAGGGATGCCCAGGACTCTGAGGCCACATGGTGAGAACTGCAAAGATTTGCAGGGTGCAGTGTGGATAATGGGATGTGATGCTGAGGGGGAATTCAAGGCCAGGGGAAAGGAGCACTTGGGAAGAGGAAATAAAGCAAATCTATCATGGTCACCTTATGTAATGATGAAATGTGTGGACTTTACAATGTGACTACACGGGTTTCAATTCCTGTTCTGTGACTAACTAGTATAAAGCCTTGAGAAGTGACCTTAACCTTTCCATTTCAGTTTACGCATCTATAAAATGGAGATAAAATTGTACCTGCCTTACAGAGTTGTAAGGATTAAATTAGCTAATTCACATGAAGTACTGAACAATAGTACCTGGCACATAGAAAGGACTATGTAAACGACTCACTTATAATGGTCTAAAATGCTGAGACGTAAAGGCCTTAGCCTGGATCCATTGCAAACATTTCAATGAATGTCTCTTGATAGATGAGTAGAACTTCAAACAAATCAGTTTGGTCCTTGTATCAACTTTATTCTAGGAAACTACAACCAAGCTATAATTCTGAAAAGGGAAGGGAGAGGCAATATTTAAGTTGTGTTTAAAGAGAATCTTCAGGGCCGGGGACTTAGCTCAGTGGTTCCGCGCCTGCTTTGCAAGCGCAAGGTCCTGAGTTCAATCCCTGGTACCAGAAAAAAAAAGTCTTGTTCCTCCAGATAATAAACCAGCAGCAGAAAACAAAAAGCAAAACAATTTAAAAATGAGGGGCCTAAAGTGCTTATAGAAGGGGAAGAGCACATAATAATGGGTATGAAGAAGAATGTGGAATAGCTGTATAGTGGAGGCAGCAGTCAAACATTTTTAGTTGACACTTGAAACATGCAATAGACTCTCACGTATTGGTACACTTAAGAAATGAAAGGTTTGAGGGTTGGGGATTTAGCTCAGTGATTCTGCCGCCTGCTTTGCAAGCACAAGGTCCCGAGTTTGATCCCCAGTACCAAAAAAAAAAAAAAAAAAGAAAGAAAGAAAGAAAAGAAAAGAAATGGAAGGTTTGAAAATGACAGGGAAGGCTGGGCGTGGGGATGCCCACCTGTAGTCCCAGCACTCAGGAGGCTGAGGTGCGAGCATCACTGTGATTTAGAGGCCAGTGTGGGCTGCACAGTGAGTTCAAGGTCAGTTCGACCCTGCCTCACAAAACCAAAACCAAAACACAGCTAAAGTTCTGGGGCTTTCAAACAGTTCAGTGGGATGAGAGACAGTACGAAAGGGCTGAGAGTGCAGCTCAGCGGCAGCACATGTGAGACCCTGGATTCACTGCCCCTGACCAGAGAAAAATGGGTAAGAGATTAATGAAAGGTATGATCACAAAGGTAGGTTAAGTTATGTTGAGAAAGTTGGATTCATTTTGTGGTGGGGAGCTGAGGATTTAGCTCAGTGGTTCTGGCTCCCGCATGGCAAGCGCAAGGTCCTGAGTTCGATCCCCAGTATGAAAAAAAAAAAAAATTTTTGTGGTAGGCATTATAGATTTTGAGCAGAGAAATAATGTGTAAGTATTGATTGGGAGGTTATTGCAATTATGAGTGAGAGGTATATTCAAACACCAGCCATATACTGGGTGTGATGGTGCACACCTGTAATCCTAGCACTGGGAGGCTGAGGCAGGAGGATCACCACGAGTATGAGGCCAGCCTGGGCTACATAGAGAGACCCTGTCTCAGAACAACAGCAAAACATCACCCATAGTTCTTAGTATATAATTAAAATATATTTCTTCATTTACAAAGGGTGGGAATCTTTAATAAAACATATGCAATAAATACAGTAATTCCAACTTAAAAATGTGTATCAGGTTGCTTCAGGCCTTTGCACTGGGGACATCGGTGGGCACCCTCAGTAACTCCTCCACCTCTTCCTGCAAAGCTTCTGCCTTCTCTTGCAACAGCATCTGCAATAAAGACCCAGGCATGAGGTGCGGTGGACGCTGCTTGGGAGGAGCTGGCATTGAACTCTGTCTGAGAAACCCAGATCCCACACGCCAATAATTCAGACATTAAAACTAAAAGAACTAGACTGAGGAACGGCCACTTAGGACTGCGATGGTAGTCAATGAAGTGGAGGTGATCATTTTAGCTGAGCACCGCATTTAGTACACCAAAAATAAAGGAGCTTTATTGAAGACCTGGCCACTTAAAATTAATTTTTAATCTATAAAACTTCAGACAATTTTGCAAAAATTTAATTATCTCTTGAAAAAGTGATCCTTTATACATATTCATTTTATTATTCGGTAGAATTCAGTATGCTTTTAACTTATCAGTATTTCAAAGGAAAGTTTTACTCAAGCACTTAAAGTGAATATTGCTAATTTCAAAAGCAATATAATAAGCAAAAGAGTATTTATAAACATAGTATGCAGAAGATTTCAATAAATATTTCCTGAAAAATGATTTTCCCCTTTCTTCTAAGAATCAAAAATAAAATGCTGGCATTAGCTGTAGCTGGATCTTGCGTATATAGAAGTATTTGTAGTACTTCTGTTACAAAAGTTTTATAATAAAAAAGCTTAGTGACATCATATAAAGGGGAGCCAGGCATGGTGGTGCACACCTATAATCCCAGCCTTCAGAAGGCTGAGGCAGGAGAACTGTGGCAAGTTCGAGGTCAGCCTAAGCTACACAGTGAATTCCAGGCCAGCCTAATCTTGAGACCCTATCTCAAGAAAAGAAATCATATAAAGGGGGAAATCACATGAAACAAAAATGCTGCCAATTTGATTCAAGATATATTATGCAACATTATTTAAAATTGATGGGCTGGGGATTTAGCTCAGTGGTTCCGCCGCCTGCCTCACAAGCACAAGGACCCAAGTTTGATTCCTGGTATCAAACAAAAATAAAAATAAATAAAATTGATAAAAATGCATTAGTAAGCTTTCTAGTAGTTGAGGTAACAGCAACCCTAGAAAACCAATCTCCCCACACAGACCGACCTAGTAAAGCACACAGCTCCCATGAGCTGGCATCACTAGGACACAGAACACCATCAGCTTTTTACTTCTAGTTTTCAGAAATTCCACCAATTTCTAGCAGAGCCATTTTTGAGCTCCTACTTCTGGGATTGGTGGAGTTGAGGGAAAAAAACCCACAAATGAACAAGACAAGTGGGAAGCATGGGACTCAGCCTCCCCAGAGAGATATGGAGGCGCTCTGAGAGAGAAAAGGCGAGAGTGCTCCTCACAGGAGGGCCCCAAAGCCTGCGGGGACCTCAGCAGGCAGTCAGGAAGCTTAGAGTGACAGGAGGGACAAGGACAAAATCAGGATCTAACCCTTTGTGCCTGCTCTATGCTGACAGAGGGACACTCAGCTACACCATAGGCCGGACTTGAGGCATCTGCTGGAAGCAAACCAGTGGGACAGCTGTGTTGCAGTCTTCCCACCTGAACTACAGCTGGCTCAAACAAAAACATGGAGACACTGGGGTGGGGGTACCCCGAAGAAGACAAGCAAAAACTAATGACTGAAACAGACCAAAGCCAGGGAGAATAGACCAGAAGTCGAAGTGCTCAGGAAAAAGAAAGAAAAACCACATTTCTCATGCTCAAAAAAAAGACCTGTAACTGAATAACTGGGTTGGTAATGATCTCATGGGTCCTCCACTCCAATCTATGCCCACGGTGCTTCTAGACAGCCAAGAGGGACATTGGAGTGTCTCTATCTGCTCCTGCAGGGCTGGGGACCTGGGGATGAGCTACACTGTCTCTAGGAGCTTCAGCGGTGCCCACAGCTTCCTGTGAGTGCCTTGGGCACTTGACAGCACCAGCCAGTGTCCCCACAGTCTGGGTGGCACTCTCATGGGCAGCTTCTCCTGCTGGGCTGGTATGTAGCACCCACTGAACTTCCCTGGGGTTCCGGGGGCCACGGGATGCCCTCGCCATTGAAGTCTGAATCCATCTGCACAGGCTGGGTGGGCCCCTTGCAGTGTACTCCTCCCCATGCTTGCTAAGGTCATGCTGCTGCTTCACAGCCAGCCTGTTAGTACTAAGTACTCATTTTTGTACTAGACCCTCCTGTTCAAATTACTGTGAACTGGGGATGGTGGCACAGACTTAAAATCCCAGTACTCAGGGAGGCTGAGGCAGGAGGATCATACATAACAGCCCAGTCTGGCAATTTAGCAGAGACTCTATCTCAAAATAAACAAATATTTAGGGCCGGAGATATAGCTCAGTGGCGCAACACCTGCCTGGCAAGTGCAAAGTCCTGAATTTGATCTCCAGTACCAGAAAAATAAATAAATAAAATAAACAAATATTTAAAAAGTGCTGGATCTGCAGCTCAGTGTGAAGTCCCTGGGTCCATCCCCTACTCCAAGAAGGATGAGAAGAAATCAACACACACAGGACCCTGGTTGCAGGAGCTCCCACTGGCCCCATCAGAGCTGCCTGACCTCTGAAATACCTAAGATCAATAATGCATTATAGATCAATGGCTAAGTACAGGCACATGAGCTCAACTAATAGAAATGAATAAATAACTAAGTGAAGAATGAAAAGCTTTCCCTTATTGTACAACACCATACATAAATGTAGAAAGAATAATGAATTCAGAAAATCACCACTTGATAGATATTGTAGAAATAACTGAGTTATACAAAAATCACTAGAGAATGCTAAAATGAGTGTGTAAAGATTTTATGAAGAATTGGATATCCATCATCACCTCAAAAGTATCCACTCCCCAAATACTAATTACAAAGAGAAAAAAAATAATTCTACAGTTAAGAAACTTAACAGACAAAACTTCTTTAAATGATCAAAGTTAGTATCAGTCGTGGGACAAAATGTGGGTCCTGATATGGTGTATTAAGGACACACATTTTTGTGGCATTCCTGCCCCCCAAAATGCATAGCTTTAATATAATCATAATAGGTTTCCTTTTTTCCATTTCCAGTCCCTTACTTGCAATCTTTAACCTACCTCTCTACTCAAAATTCTGCAGGGACTATCCACTGTACTCTTTTTTTTTTAAATTAGTTCATGTTTTCAGGACACGATGCCCATATCCCTCGTGTGGAGGTGGTGCATGGACATAACTCATCTTCATTCCTTTTTCATCCTTTCCATCCCTTTTCCTCTCCCTCCATCTCTTAATCGCCTTCCCATTTGAGAAAAGATCCCTACGTCCTATTATTAGCTTTTATTTGGCTCTTTATTTATATATTGAGTTTCTCATATAAGAGAAACCACATGATATTTAAGTTGTGTGTGTCTCACTTATTCCACTTAGTGGTATGGTCTCAAGATGCATCCAAGTACTCTTTGAAGTTGTATGCAAAGTGGAAGAGAAGCTGAGGACCAGAGCAGCTGATTTCTGAGAACTGGAGGCACCCCTGACAAAGGAGCATGGGTCCTAGATGGACCACAGGTTCCCCGCACCAGCTATGAACTGCTCTGCTACACTTGTCTAAAGTCACTTATTTTGTCTATTGTGACTGCAGCTCCAGTTACACACTTAATAATATGCAGTCAGACTCCACAGTCCTGGCCCTCTACTTACTGTCTCTCATGTAAATCATTTCAGTAGGTCTCTTTCATTCATTTACTCACATATTTATTAAACACATACTATAACCTGAGTACTAGGTGTTATAGAAATGGAATTATTACTTTGTTCCTACAAACTTAGACCTCCTAATATAACAAAGTCCATCTCAGCGGTCTTGTATAAACTAGGGATAACACCCACACTGCCCTCCTCATAGGACTGCTGTGGAGATCAATTACGAGGTGTGGTTAAAATATACCATGAATTGGGCCAGGGATGTAGCTCAGTGGCACTGTGTCCAAGTGCAAGGTCCTGAGTTTGATTGCCGGTACCACACACACACACACACACACACACACACACACACACACACACAAAGAATGTTTAAATTAAAAATTATTATAGTAAAAGACACTTTGCCATTAATCTCCCTCAAAATCCTCCCTTCTCACTTCAAACTCACTTATCCCCTCATTCTTCCACTTCCTGAAGAAGTTCTGGAAGTCCTCTTTCCTGGCTATCTTTACGGGGTATGATCAGAAATACAGCGAATGGTGCTGCTGGGTGCCATCCAGGCGGAGGGCAAGCTTGCAAAAACATGACAGCATGTCTTCATTCACCTTATTCACTGGATCTGGCTCTTTCCCAAAGTTAAAACAACCATGGAAGAGAAATGTTTTGAATTGATTCAGGATATCAAGGCAGCCAGGACAGCACAACCGAAGACACTTCTAGACTTGCTTCAATAAGTGGCAAGAATGATGCGATAAATGTGTTTGAAGTGATAGGGAGTATTCTGAGGGGAATAAATGGTAGTGAGTCTTTACTGTAATACTTTAAAAAAAAATTAAATTAAATGTTCACTATACCTTACTTTGTAAGGTAATTCACACAATGTGAGCACCATTCAAAAAAAGTCAGGTGAAAATGTACTTTCAATTTTGTCTTACACATGATAATAGTGTAACAATAAAGTTCAAAGGAAACTAAGCAACTCCAGGCTTAGAACTATAGCTGAAACCGAGAAGTAGGTAGTCCCAAATTGTGGGATAGAATTACCCACACGGAGCAGAAGGACAGTGATGGTTTGGGTTATGCTTAGCAAAGGACTGTGAGCAACCTAAAACTACATTGTTCAACACAGAGGAAAAACAGCAAGGAGAAGCTCCTGGGGGCAACAAGAGCCGTTTTCCCACATATGGAAAACTACTGTAAGAATGAGAGGACAGACTAGTTCCAGAGGGTGGTGCTCTGACACTGTGGTAGAGATTTCAGAGGCAAAATTTAGCCTCAGTATCTTGGGATATTTTTTATACTACTGGGAGCACCCAAAACCAGAAGCCCCTGACTTCAGAGGCTGTGAGCTTCTCGTCAGTGCAGGTGTTCAGAGTCAGGAAGACCAGATGTCAGGATGCTGAGGAAAGGACTTCTGGGAAGAGGGGAAGGAGGCAGAGCTCAAGGACTTCATGGTTCCCTGGTCTTCAATGAACCCCTAAAACTGTCTTATTTTTATTTTTTGTTGGTTCTGGGGACTGATCCCAGAACCTCATGCTTGCTCTGCTACTGAGCTACATTCCCAGCCCTTTTTCAATTTATATATATTTTTTTCTTTTTTTTTGGTACCGAGGATCGAACTCAGGACCTTGTACTTGCTAGGCAGGCAGCAGAACCACTGAGCTAAATCCCCAGCCCCTTTCAATTTATATTTTGACACAGGGTATTGCTAAATTGCCCAGGCTGGGTTTGAACTTGTGATCTTCCTTCCTCACCCTCCCAATCAGGTGGGATTAGCTTATGCCACCATGCTTGCCTTGTCTTTACTTTTTTAAGAGGTCTTTTTCCTCTTAGCAAGTCCTATGTCATAACACATGAAGTATTTGTACCTATAAATTCTGAGTGCGTATTTCTATGTCTATAAAAATAAACTGCTGGCTGGGGATTTAGCTCAGTGGTGCTGCACCTGCCTCACAAGCACAAGGTCCTGAGTTCTATCCTCGGAAAGAAAAAAAAATAAACTTCTATGTGATGTTCAGTATATGGTTCTGTTATGTAAAGTATAAGCAGTTAATACTACAAACGATAACAGTTACAAAGTGGTTTTCTTGCTCACCTTTGCAGATGAAACAATTTGCCTGGCTTGGCGTCGTGACAAGTGATCGATTGTCTTTATTAGCACGTCTGGATCAGCATTGGCCAAATGCATTAGACTTCTGTAACCTGTGCTGTATAACTGTTTTGCTCGACCCTGGAAAGCATCACAGATATCAGCAGGATCAGAATTTGGGATAAAGAAAAAAAATGTACATGTAAAACAGGAATAAACTAAGATAACATAAATATGGCATAATTTTTTTTTTGGGTACTGAGGATCGAACTCTGGTCCTTGCGCTTGTGCAGCAGGCAGCGAAACCACTGAGCTAAATCCCCGGCCCAAGATAACATAAATATGAAGAGATGAGAATCTTGAAGAAGCTTCAAAGATGCATATAAGTGGTTGCAATTTGATTACAAGGTAGCTTAAGTCAGCTAATGTGTGCTAAAGTCAGAAGCAAGAAACTGATTAAGCATTTAGGCCAGTGGCATTATTTCAGTTCTGCAAGCAAAATGTTCCAGTCCAATATTCTGTTAATGTTAATGACAATATTTTGAAAATGTTCTCATCATCTACTCAAGAATCAATGGTGTGCATGTGTGTGTTTCTCAAGCAGGACTAGGAACTAAATAATCAAGAATAAACTAAAAAAAAAAAAAGAAGAATAAACTGAAGTTGAGGGTTGATTGAAGACATAAAGCTTAGATACCAGATGACAACCTTTTCTTGTCACTCTTTTAAATAAGAAATGTCCTGCCTCGCAAGCGCAAGGACCCGAGTTCGAGCCCCAGTACCAAAAGAAGGAAAGAAAGAAATGCCTCCTTGCCACATTATCATAAACAAGCACAGAGCCCACATCTCAGAAGGTGATTGTTCACTGGTTTACGTGGAGGACAGATGAGATTTTAAGCACAAGTGGTAGCATTCTCATTCTTGGGGACTGTCCCTCCTACTCCTACTGCTATGTATTGCTTTACAACTATGCTTTTTCACTGGGTCTGCTCCCCAGTTAACAGTGGATTTCTGGGAGACCATGGCAGCAATTTATTTAAAAAAAATAAAGAAGCCTCCCCAACAAATAAGCAGTAACTTATAAGCAAGCTATCACTTGCCCTGCAGCCAACTGCAGAGAATACCAAAAGCTGATTTTTCTGTTAGAAATAACGTCACTGTGGAAACTGGAAGTTACTGACCTCTAAGACACCAGTGACTTCCATGAGTGGGATCAGCTCTGCCTTTACGCAGTATGTCAGCTTCTTGGTAAGTTCCACCAGAAGGGCTCTGTAAACCCAAAACTCTTCAAGCTCCTGTGAGACTCAGAGAAATAAATAAATGTAACTTTTGGAGCATATTTCAAAGTTCAGTTTGTGAGACAGGGGCTTGGAGAGGATGTTACCTCATGTAAATGCTGGATCTTGGCTAAGCTAGGAGGAAAGATGAGTCCAAACAGAATTATTATGAGTAAATACAGCAGAGACTATGAAGAATTTGATGGATTAGTTTTAGGAGGAGAAAAAAGGTTGAAAGTTGAAAAATAAGTCAAGAACTCTATTCATTTTTATCAAAACATCAAGAAGTCAATGTAGTTTTTCTTTAAGTAAAAACAAGCCCTACCTCAGAATTTATCCTGAAGACAAAATATTAGATATAGATTCAAATGCAAGATGATGTTCAATGCACTATTTAAATACATAAATACTGCAAATCATGAGTCAATAAGTATTAAAGTTAGGTGGGATTTTGCCTTTTAAAAAATATATATGTCGGGCCAGGAATTTAACTAAGTGGTTCTGTCGCCTGCCCCGCAAGCGCAAGGACCGGAGTTCAATCCCCGGTACCAAAAAAAAAAACACACAAAAAATATGTATGTCTGAAATTTTCTATTATAATAGTTTTCTCAGTTAATCAAGAAGCTGAGGCAGGAGAATCACAAGTTTGATCCCAGCCCAGACAACTTAGTGAGACTATCAAAAAAAAAAAAAAAGAAAAGAGAAAAATAAAAGATTTGAAAAGAATGCAGCTTAGCAATCCCTGCATTTAATTTCCAGCACTGAAAAAAACTCCCTTTCTGGCCTCTGGGTTTTGGTGGGAACATGTGATACACAGAACAGCATTCGCAGCCACCTTGTGACCACAGAGGAAGCAGTCCGTCAATCTATATGGAAGAGAGAGAAGAAAACCTGGAGCAGCTGCTACCACCAAGCCTGGGACTGCTCCTGTTAAAGAAGATAACCATCACCCTCATTTGTTAGACCTCTACAGAGCCTTTCCTATTACCTGTAGTTAAAATCATCTTCATTAATACAACTGGAGTACTATTTTATACCCCTTATATGACTTTTTAAAAGAAAAAACAGGCCAGGGGTTTAGCTCAGTGGTTCTGCCGCCTGCCTCACAAGCACAAGGACCCAAGTTCGATCCCTGGTACCAAAAAACCAAAAAAATAAAAATGCCATTTTTGGCCAGGGACTTAAGTCAGTAGTTTTGTCACCTGCTGCACAAGCCCAAGGACCCGAGTTCGATCTCTGGTACCAAAAAAATTAATAAATAAAAAAATAAAAGAAAAAAAAACTTTAAAGTAGTAAAAATGGATAAATGAGAGCACAAGTTGTCAGCTAGGATTCTTAGATTCAACCATCAAATTATAGCTGTTTTTCAAATTCTACGTATAATTCTTTTATTTGAGCAATTTGGTAAGGCTCAAATCCTCACAGTCCTAAGTGAAACAAAGGGAAAGACTTTCAGGAAAAGCATCTTTAAATACTATTAAAAAACAACAAACATAGAAAACTTGATAAAATACATTATTACACATAATTTTTATTTGCTTAACTAGCATATACTTAGGTAATGTATATTAACACTTAAAAATCAGCCTAGTAAAAGATGTTTAGAAAGGCAAATCTGCTCTAATAGTCATCATTCAGTCCAACATTTTTGGGTATTTACTCCCTTCATTAGCACATGTGATAGAATTATCATATACATACAGAGAATAGGGAGAGTTAAGAGAGGAAAAAGGAAGTAAAATTTAAATTTAGGAAATAGAGCCGGGTGTGGTGGTGCATGCCTATAATCCCAGCACTCAGGAGGTGGAGGCAGGAGGATTGCCACAAGTTTGAGGCCAGCCTGGGCTACACAGTGGATTCAAGGCCAGCCTGAACTACTTAATGAGACTGCCTCAAAAAAAAAAAAGAATTCATGGGGAAAACAAATATGGAAAAGGTTACTTACTATACCACCCAATTAGAAGAAATGTAAATGTACCAAAACAATGGCTTGCATTATAAATTCAATTTAAAAATTATCTAGCTTGGAAAATCTAGTTAACTTTGTTGTGCCCTATTTAAGCAAAGATCTATTTTTAATTGGAGCTTTAAACAAATCCATCCCAAATGGACAAGGCCAAAATAAAGTTCTGAATTACTTTATACAATAAACATCTGATATTGAAACCTAACACAGCTGCCTGACACTGGGAGCAAATACTGTCCCTGGGTGTGGCAGTCAGGAGGACAGAGACTGAGCAGTCACATGGAGGTGCAGGACAGGGGTTACTCCCTCTGCCAATGTCCTACACATTCATTGCTCACAAGAAAGATATTCACACAGAATCTACAGCAACAGAAAACAGTTGTTTTAATAGTTAATTCTAAACACCTGAAGCTATTAATGGGTGGCCCTAAAAGTAGGATTAACTTGGCACTTTCCACTTCTCTATTAAGCGTTCCAGTTGATTTAGTAATTTCTATAATTTTACCATAAAAATGTATATAGTACACTGTAAGCAGATATAAACAAAGGTAGACTTCAAATAAATTCTGAATGCTCAGAAATAACATAATTCAATGCGACGACATGCTGATTAGTTAGGAGGTCAGTAACAGAACAAGAGGCACATAGTCCATGTTAGCACTCCAGTGGAATTACCTCGCAGAAATGTAACACGCTGGACGAGAAGGAGGCAGCAGCAGTGAGCAGATTTTGTATAGATCCGCGAGGAAGATTAAATTTTTCAGACACATTCCAAACGTTGGTCTCTTTGAGCAAGGCATGGAGGACAAAAGAGAGGTAGAGCCTGTTGACAGTGTCCTTGTCTACTTTCTAGAAAGAGACCATAAAATAAATGTATTTAGGCTAAACTTGGTAAAATTACATTCAAATTGGACAAAAGTTAAAATGAATGAAGTTGTAGGGCTGGATGGCAAGAACAGAACGATTCCATAGATACAAATCTGATTTCTAACATATGTACTTTACATTAAATTATCATTTTTCTGACCACAAAAAAGACACAGCAAGTTATTTCCAATTTAAATTAAACTTCCTTCTGTAGGTAGTGCAGTGGGTTGAATTATGCTCTCCTAAAAAATCAAGTTCAAGTGCTAACACCCAGTACCTAAAATGCAACTTGACTTTGGAACAGGATTGCTGCAATGTACTGTATTTAGTTAAAGATTTCTAGATGAAATCACCTAGGACTAGTAGGCCCCAAATTCAATGACTGGTGTCCTTCTAGGATGAGGAGAGGACACAGGAAGCCATGTGGGATGCAGGCTGGAATGGAGAGAGGCATCTGTGAGACAAGGAGCCTAAAGGTGGCAACCCCTACAGCCAGGGCAGGAGAGGCAGGCTTCTTCCTTAGTGCCTTGACAGTAATCACTGCTGCAAGACCTCTGTTCTGCATCTCTGGCTTTCAGAACTGGAAGAGGATGGAGGTTTTGTCTGGTTTTTGTGTATTTTGGTGTAAGGGACTGAACCCAGGGCCTCTGCTGCAGAGCTACACCCTAGGCTGTTCCTCTTGATTTCGCCTCAGATTGGCAGGAATTTGTTACAACAGCTCTAGGAAATACAGTACACACAGGGAGGGACCTGGGGGATCCTAATTTCTGGTGGTGCTTCTACAGTAGGAATGTGTATGACTGTGACTGTAAGTTAGACAAATGCATGTAGATAAATGTGTTAAGTTTATTATAGTGTAAACTGAGTAAATATTATGCTATGACTGCCACATGGTCATGAGAAATAATTGTTTCCAAAGTTAAAATAATGAGAGAAAAGTGCTTCCTGTAGCTAACAATTTCTGTTTTGTGTACCTGCTTTTCCTGTAGTGTCTAGTGACTGCATAAAGTATTTCATTGTAAAAAAAAAAAAAAGTATTTCATTGCTAGTGTAACCTAATTTGGAAAGTAACTCATGCTTAAAATCAAAAGAAAAAAATGAACTTGAAAAAGTAGGTATATGATATAAAATTTAGTTTTTCTACCCAAGTGTGGTGGTGCACTTGGAAGCCTCAGCCAGGAGGATTGTTAGTTCGAGGCCAGCCTGTCTCAAAAACCGAAACCAAAACCAGAACCAAAACTGTATCTTCTACTCTAGTAAAAGAATGTTTGAGATGAAAGTTAGGGTGACATACTGAAGGACTTATAAGTTATAGGCTGTGCATGCTGATACTGGATCACTCTTTTTAAAAGCATTAAGATGAAAAGCATAAGAATTGAATAGCAAGTAGGATAAGGTAGCTTTTTAATTTTCCAATTTTAATGTACCTTTATTATTAACTATAAATTGAGCTAATACAGGTTTTGTTTAGAATGTATTTCCTAAACCAAGAAAAATGGTATCTTTTTTACATGGTACAATATCAATTTTAAGATCTTTTGCAAGACTTGTTAAAACTGGGAGGTGGCTCCTTTTTTCAATATGGCAAAATCAATTTGATTTCAAGTAAATATAATGTTCTTTAGAATTTCCAGTAATACTACCTCTAAAATATTAAATATTAAACTAGTAACTCATTCATAATTAAGATAAATTCATACCCTACTACTTTAGACATTTAATTATTAATTTAATCAAAATGTATTGACTAAAAATTAACAAAATTAAATTCTGGGTTTAAGTTTAAAGATATGCATTATTCTAATAAGATTTTGCTGTTTATTATATGGTTCTGAATCCAAACTAATATGATTTTTTAGTTTACATTCCAGTTTTAATAAAAGGTCTGTTTTAGGAAATGCTTTCACTCAACATTTTGAAAATCTGAACAACATACTCATTTCTAAGGTAAAAGAGCCAATGTACAAATAGGAAGAATGAGAATGCTTCAATGAGATAGCTTAATTTTATGATATAGCAATGTGTGAGATAGGTGCACTGTTCAAATGTAAGTAAACATCAGGTTTCATTTTTCAAAATGAAACAGGATTACTTACATAAATTTAAAAGATACAGGGAGAAAATGGCAAGCAAGATAATTAGGTTTCAATGAAAACTGGATTAACAAAACAAATTAAAAATAAAAAAAGCACTTTATGAAAGGAAAATTATATTAACTTTAAGAAGTGGAAGATAAGGTCAAAGAATTATTGCTACTTATTTTAAACAGTTTATGCTGTACAGTAAAAGAAACCACTGAAAGAGTGAAGACACAACACATAGAATGGGAAAAAATTTTTACCAACTACTCCTTAGACAAGGGACTAACATCTAGAACATATCAAGAACATGAAGAACTCAAAAAACATCAGGTATCCAAATTTAAAAACTCAATCCAAAAATGGGCATCTGAAGTGAACAGACACTTCTGAGATGAAGTAGTACAAACAGCAAATAAATATATGAAAAAATGTTCAACATCATTGGTCATTCAAAAGATGCAAATTAAAATAAGACAGATTCCACTCCAATGAAATAGAAACTTAGCATTGTTTTAATGAAGATGATATAATGGCATTAATTTTGCTGAATGAACTTAGTTCATTATTTAGGAAGAAAAAAGATGACAGTACCTTCCTGGTGGCTTGACCTGATGCCTTCTTCGCAATGTAGCTTTCAGAGACTCCAAGGAGAGAAGCTACATTTTGCTCAGCTGGACTGAGTTGACTAATCTGCACAGGAAAAGAGTAAATTTAAAAAATCAAACTGTAACTTTCAGAAAAATCTACCATTTGAACCAAAACTCCTATTTGAGATCACATTTTTGTGATTTTATTTTAATTTTAAAGGAGATGAAAAATAATATAAATTTATTTGCAGTATCACAAGTTTTTTTAAATACAGCATTAGAATATAACATACTGGGCCAGGGATGTAGCTCAGGGGCACCCACACCTGTCTGGCAAGCACAAGGTCCTGAGTTTGATTCCCGTACCACACACACCCCAAAAAAATATAACATACTTTAGTGGAATCAGTCTTAAGTGGCAAAATGACCCTAGATCAACACTAGATCACATACTGGGTGTGACTGAAAAATACGATGACTGTTTAATTTTTTAAAAATTTATTACAGTAAAAGACACATTGCCATGAATCCTCCTCAGAATAATCCCCCTTGTTTTGAACACACTTATCCCATCACTCTTGCCACTTTATATAGCAGTTCGGAAGTCTTCTTTCCCATCTTTAGGTGTGCTATTGTAGCTCCCTCAATCCTGAATTGATTTAAAGCATTTCCCTTTCCCGGTCATTGCGATTTTGGGGAAGAGGTGACCTCTGTCTCTTCCCCTAAATCACAATGACCGGGAAAGGGAAATGTTTTTCGTTGGCTGGCACTAGGCAGCAGGATTCACCATATTCTGATTATATCTTATAAAGATACTCATGAAATTGGACTTCTAGAACTACTTCAGAGTGGCAAGAATGATGGGATGGATACTGCACTTGAAGCACTTGAAGAAGGAGTATTTTTTTTTTTTTTTGGTACTGGGGATTGAACTCGGGACCTTGAGCTTGCGAGGCAGGTGCCAGAACCACTGAGCTAAATCCCCAGACAAAGCAGGAGTATTTTGAGAGGCATTACTGGCAATGTGTCTTCTGCTGCAATAAATGTTTTTAAATTTAAACATTCACTGAGTATTTCAAACACTCCTCATACATATAACTGTGGCCTGATAAGATGATATAGGCTAGTGACATCATAGCTGTGTTCATTTAAATTCACTCTGAGGTGCACACACTGATGAAACTGCCTAACAATGTACTTCTTAGAACATATCTCCATCACTAAATGTTACTTCTTAGAACATATCTCCATTACTGTACTTAAAGACATGGCCATAAGAACTGGCCTCCATGGACTGTGATGATGCTTAATGCTGGCAATGGCTGGGGAGAGAGGAAAGAGGGAAAGGTTCTTGAAAGAAACTGCATTATATAGTACCACTTTTTTGAAAAAACACCTACAGTAATTATTTTCAAATATGACATTAAAAAGGAAGTGAATTTCCTGAGATTAAGAACTACAGAGTAGGGGATTAGGAGTGTAACCCAGTGGTAGAGCACATCCATGAAACTCAAGGCCCTGGGTTCCATCCTTAGGATGAAAAAAAAAAAGCTATACATTGTTTCTGCCTACTAAGTGTTCATTCAGGCATTCAGTCCACCTGTGCACAGTAGAATCATAATAGGCTGTACCCTGCCTTGGTTTTGTTACAAGAGGGCCAGTTCCACCTTGCTACTGGCCATAAATGAATATCCCCTTGTAGTGATTACCATCTTTAGGCTTGGGGCATCACAATGCTTGGCTCTGACACAGCTTTCAGATGACTAAATTCTCAGTCATCAGCTACAGCTTTTCCTGCTTTCTTTACACTGTAGGGATTAGACGAATCTTGGCAGAACTGTCTCTGGGGAAATGGGACCAGGGATAGTCCTTTCATCTATTTTGTTTTGAATATATTTAATAGAAAAGTAATGCTTGGGGCCAGGGATTTAGCTCAGTGGTTCCGGCGGCCTGCCTTGCAAGCGCAAGGTCCCGAGTTCGATCCCCGCTACCAAAAAAAAAAAAGAAAAGTAATGCTTGAGTCAAACAAACCAAAGATACTGCTACCATATGACTATTTTAAAAACTGAAAGACAAAAGCCCCAATTTCAAATACAGTATTTGTCAATGGAGAAAAAAGGTAAAATAAAAATCATATTATCCTTAATAAGCAAAGGCTAAGTTGAAAAATCGTCTATTCTCACCTGTCTGAAGTATATCATCCAGTCAGGGTCACACTGAGAAACCAGATCATAGGGAGTTGTCAGGTAGATTAGATGAAGAAGGTTTTCAAGTACCAGACCTTCAAGACCCTTCTTCAGGTCTCTGTAGAGAATGTCACAGTAAGCCAGATCTATAGTTCCTAAAAGAAAGATAAACATAGTCCATCTTTACTAGGGAGGGAAATGTGAAAATTATAAGAGTAATGTTATTAATATGAAACTACAAAGGCACTTTAAAGAAAGAATAACTTAATTTCTATTTTTCCTAGTACATTTCCTCAGGTTATAATGAGATGTAAGTAAAATCTTACCCTTAAAAGAAGCTTTCCCCAATTTGGTAATATGAAAATTACAATGCAACTCTTCTTCAGACTCTGGATTAGGGCATTTTTGTAGGAGTCCTTTTTCTGTCAGGTATCTAAGTGATTCGACAGTTATTTTCCAGAGACTTTTTTCTTTCAATAAAATCTTTTGCTGAACACCAAAAAATGTACCATTCATGAAGCGATATATGTCACCAAGATTTGTTGCAATCTGAAACAATTTAGGACATAATTGGAGCATTTTCCTTAATTAGAGGCATCATTTTGTACACTAATCAAGATGATTACTCATTTCCATACAGCAAAGCTACTTAAATTTAAAAATAAGTATAAAATCTAATCAGTGGTATGTATAATTTTATAGGGGGATTTTAAATGCTACTTGGTGTTCAGATGTAGAGTTGACTCTGAATTAGAATAATCTTTTGTTAGCCAATTTCAAAGAAATCAGCATGTAAAACTAAAATATGGTCAATCAATAAATACATTGCTCTCTTACAATTCTGATGATACTTCAACTGAATAATTTAAGTAGTTATTAAACCCATATATGGAATAACAAAACTTATTATGGGGCACAGACATTTTTCTATTGCTTCTCTCTTCCCTTTTAAAAAATCATTATTCTTAATGTAATATTCAATTAAGCTAAACTACACTTTGAATACATACAAGAACAGATACTCGGTTTGTGGATCATCAATGTAGTTTCTGTACTATTTCCTACCTGGCTGATTATAGGTAACACTGTGGGAGGCCAGTGGCTGGGTGGGTGGGGATGAAACCTTTACTCTATCCCTTTACCTTATTTTTTGTGGTACTGGGGACTGAATTCAGGGCTTTTCCTCAGAACTAATCCCAGCCTCCCCTTTTTTCCCAAGCCCTTTTAAACTTTTCTATTTCCTTTTTTTTCATGGCCTTATTGGCAATATTTTCCCTCAATTTAAATTTTTTTATTAGTACACATTTCCCTTTTTATTTTTTGAGACAAGTTCTCACTAAGTCACTAAATTGCCCATGTTGGGCTCCAACTTGCAATCTTTCTGCCTCAGCCTCCCAAAGTGCTGGGACTATAGGCTGTGTAACACCACACCCAGTGCATGTTATCTTTCTATCCCTCCCTGAAAAACTTTTGTAACATAGCTATTTAACCCTGCCAGGCTAGCCTGTGCCTTTGATCTGGCAATTTCTCAAGGCTGGATTCTTCATGATGCCCCAACTTGCAAGTTCAGCCAGACCCAAGTCCAAGGTCAGTTTCAGTAATGCAGATATCTACAAGAGTACCATCCACATGCCAAGGACTGGTGAGGCACTGGGACTCAGTGATCAATGAAAAGAAAGGGGAGCCTTGCTTCTGCAGGTCATTCATTCTGCTGGGGCAATGTTATTAGCCAAACACCTGTACTAACAAGAATACAGTTATAAGCTGATAGGTTCTGCTAAAGGAAGGAGACAGTCCTACGAGCACAAAACAACAGACCGACTGGACTCAGGCACAGGGAAGGCTCCCTGAGGAAGTGATGGCTAAGCAAACCTGAAGGTGAGACTTACTTAGGTCAGGCAGGGGCTGACAATGAAGCTGGACACGGGGCGGGAAGACGGACACTGGGATGTTCATCTGCATCTCCTGCCCTCACACTGCCCAAATTGAAGATCTTGCCCTTACTCCCCCTCTAACCCTATCCCATCCAGTCCAGATGACTTGACTTCTGCTTCTGTTCCAACCCAACAGATTCCCTGGTTATCAGCCCTGTCTAGAATTCCAACCTCCTCCACAAGCAGAGCACCACTGTGAGCTCCACTGTGAGGCATGGGAGGAGCCCTGCCAGCTGGTCCTCCTGGGGCCTGGCCCTGCTCGCTTGAGCTCTGCTTCCTGTGGGGAGCGCTGATGGTGGGTGGAGGCCTGCTCGGCTCCTGAGCTGCCTGCTGCCTGGACTTCTGTGGCTGCACTCGAGTTATTAAAACAATCTGAGTGAAACAGCTATGCAGGGCCAGGATGATAAAACCACAGTCCTCTGGCCACGTCAGTTCCCTGTCTCCTAATTACTCTGGGTGCTCTGGTGTCACGGGAAGTCCTGAGTCCCTCCATCAAAATATAGCAATTTTGGGCCGGGGATATAGCTCAGTGATTTCACTGCCTGCTGCGCAAGCACCAGGACCTGAGTTTGATCCCTGGTACCAAAAAAAAAAAAAAGAGAGAGAGAGAGAGAGAAAATATAGCAATTTCTACAAAAAAAAAACTGTTGTAATTTTATTAGGATCACATGGATTTTTATTATGGATCCATTTGAGAAGTAACATATGAACAAAACTAAATGCTTCAATTCATGCATATGGTATCTTTTGCCATTTACTTAAGTCTTCTTTAATTTTTCTCAGCAGTGTTTTATATTTTTCAGTTTAGGAAAGGGGGGCCTTTGAAATAGGGTCTGTTTACGTGGATCAGTTACAGCTTGCATAAATTTTAACTTTATTACCTCAGTCAAGAGTAGTAAGATTTAAAAGTACCTTTAAGCCAATCAAAGAGAGAAACAAAGTTTGAATTCCCTTGTTGAATTCCTGAACAAGATGGCTATAACAGTTTTCTGGTGGTCTGCTTATTAGCTCCAAGACCTACAAAAGTAAAAGCAATATTATGTTAGGTTTTGTGTTATTATTAAAAATAAATAGGGTTGCCGTTGCCTGCCTTGAAAGTGCAAGGTCCTGTGTTCAATCCCCAGTGCTGAAAAAAAAAAATGGTGCCTAGGGATTTAGCTCAGTGGTATCGTGCCTGCTCTTGCAAGCACATGGTCCTGAGTTCAATTCCCCGGTATCAAAATAAATAAATAAATATTAAAATGTAAAAATAAAATTAAAAAAAATGTGTTCCATGTAAAGGTTTTATACTCTGCATAAATCTTATAAAGTCAAGGAGAAACCAGACCAGACCAAACCAAACCACCTAAAAAGATGAAATAATAAGAATTTAACAGGTATCCTTATAAAATCAAGAAGATAGCTGGATCTAAAATGAAAAGACACTTCTCAGATGAAGAAATAGAAACAATAAATAAATATATAAAAAAATATTCAATGGACTGGGGATTTAGCTCAGTGGTGTTGCTGTCTGCCTTGCAAGCATAAGGTCCTGAGTTTGAGCCCTGGTACCAAAAAAACCCCACAAAACTTTAAAAAAAAAAAATTTCAACATCACTGGTCATTTGTGAAATGCAAATTAAAACAACACTGAAATTCCATCTTACTCCAGAAAGAATGGCTTCTATCAAGAATCAACCAATAAATGGGGGCTGGAGATTTAGTTCAGTGGTGCTGCACCTGCCTCACAAGCACAAGGTCCTGAGTTCAATCCCCAGTACTGAAAAAAAAAAAAATCAACCAATTACAAATGCTAGCAGAGCTCCTGGGAAAAAGGAACCCTTTTCTACACTGGCGGGAGTGTAGACTGGTGCGACCACTATGGAAATCAATGTGGAGATTTCTCAAAAAACTAAAACTAGAGGTTCCATTTGACCCAGGACCCAGCTATTTCCCTTCTTGGTATCCTCCCAGAAGAATTAAGAACATCAGACCACAGTGATATATGCATAGCAGCACAGTTTGTAATAGCTAAACCTTGAAAACAGCTCAAATATCCATCAACTGATGATAAAGAAGATGTGGTTTTTAAAAAATACAATGAAGTACTACTCTGCCATAAAAAAGGATAAGCTTGAGACATTTCTAGCTAAATGGATGCCCCTTCAGACCATACTCTTAAGTGAAATAAATCAGACATACATATTTAAATACCATATTGTTTCTCTGGTGTGAGAATCTGAAAGTGGAAATAAGGACTGAAATGTATAATAGAAATTGAGAAATGGGAAGAAAATGTTCAAATGGGAAGGGGAACAAGGAAAGAGGGAGGGAAAAAGGAATGAAGGGACAAGAAATAAAGTGAAAATAGAAGGAAAAAAATGGAAACAAAGCTTTTGTGGATAGGGAGGGGGACAATGGTATAAAATTAAATTAAATTTTAACAAAAACAGAAAAGATAGCCAAGTGTGGTGGTACACACCTATAATCCCAGCACTTGGGAGGCTGAGGCAGGAAGATTGCTGCAAGTTTGAGGCCACCCTGAGATACACAGTAAGTTCAAGACTGGCCTGAACTACAGAGTGAGACTGTCTCAAAAAAAAAAAAAAAGATAAATAGGGAAAATACTTTTCATTACTGAAATGTAAAAATCTTCAAATTGCACTTCCTAATTTTTTATCATATAGGAGAAGGATGCATCATATAAAAAAACATTAAAGAAACATTAGCTTTTAAAAGATGATCTCATATGAGGGATAGACCAAAGACTAAGGGGGGAGGGGACCCAACTGACCAGATTGAGCATTACCTTTTGCTTGTCTTTTTCTTGCAATATAAGTATACTTTCTCCAATGGTATCTATTCCAGCACGACCAGCTCTGCCAATCATCTGCTTATATTGACTCCTCTTCAAAAATTCTTTAGCAACGTAGGGAGCTCTTAAAATAACTCTATGGAATTCATAAAATTAATTAAAAATGACATTCTGCCTACGGCAATAGCATCTATTTTAAAAACTCTTTATATCTATGTTATTAATTTAATAATATATTATCTCAAAAGATAAGAAAATACATGTAATTCTTATAAAATTCTTAGTAGTAACCTTTTTATCCATTATAAGGAAGTTAAGGGCCAGGGATTTGGCTCAGTGGCATCGCGCCTGCCTTGTAAGCACAAGGTCCTGAGTTCAATCCCTAGTACCAAAAAAGAAAAGAAAAATTCAGGAAGTTACCTGAAGCTCAGCTAAGTGGCTTATCTTAAAGTACAAAATAAGTAGCTGCCAGAATCATTTGGACTCAATCTGCTTAGTTAGAAATACTCTGATCAAACTGTAGCAGTAGACTCCAAAGTTTTTTGATTTTATACTCCATAAATGAAAAATTTGGCCATGCGCCACTAACACATGGATTTTTATTTATGAATTTATATTAGTTTGAACAGATTTCAACTGTTTTGAACTACAAAGTGAAGATTTCAATCATGTTCAAGTATACAGAAGTCTGTTGTCAGCTTTCCTGTCCAAAGGCAGGAGAAAGCCTGTCATTTACTTTTACTAATCAACCTACTCCTCTTTTATTTGTAAATCTCAACAGACAAGATTACCAAACACTTAAAAGAAAACTAACAGCACTTATAAGGAAAGTGAATTAAAAGAGAATTCTTGGAAAGTAAAAAAATTAAAATTTGTTTGAAAATTGAACTAAAAACTAAATAATAAATGAACATAGTTAATGGATACAGTTAAAAACTGACATTTTTTTTTTTTGGTATTGGGGTTCGAACTAGGGACCTTGCGCTTGCGAGGCAGGTGGTAGAATCACTGAGTTAAGTCCCTGGGCCTAAAAACTGACTTTTTAAAATATGGAAAGTAAAGGTGATGAAAATGTGTAAGAAAGAGAGTTGAAAGCTCAACCTAAGAGACCTCAGCTCTAAGTGAAGTTACAAAAGCAGAGAAAATAGATAGATGATGGGAGAAAGAAATAAAAGAAATAACCCTCAAAAGTTGCTCTAAGCAGAAAGGTGCAGAGCTTGAGATTGTGAGCACCTACTGAGTGCTAAGCCTTATGAGTGAAAAGCAGAGAAACTGGGATTTGGGGGATTGCAGAATCTGACTTCCTGCGGTCAAACGTTGGCCCTGAAACTCACTGCTGGGAGTAAAGCCCGGCAGGTTATTTAATTATCCTCGCCACACCGTCTATAAAGTGTGGGTAATGAGTGACCTTCCTTTCCAGAGCTGTGAGGATTGAGGAAGTCAATGTGTTTAACATCTGCAATTATTATAACATACTATCTTGAAGTGCCAAGGTTAAAAACAAAGGTCTAAAAGCTTCTGGAGAGAAGAAAACTGCAAATCTATGTAGAAACAAAGATTAGTAGGGCTGGGGATTTAGCTCAGTGGCACTGTGCCTGCCTCGAAAATATAAGGTCATGAGTTCAATCCCTGGTACCAGAAAAAAAAAAAAAGAAAGAAACTAGTAACACTGGCTCCTAGAAGACATGGAACAACATCTATAAAGCCCCCAAAGGGGGAAAAAATAATTAAGCCTAGAATTCTTTTTCTAGTGCAGTATTAAAGTGTGAGGCTAAAGTACAAACATTTTTAGCTATTCAAAGAATGAATATTTTTATTACCAGGTGCAGGAGTTTAATAACAATTACTGAAAGATGGCAAAAGTTTAAAAATGAATCATAAAAGGAAGATGTAGCATAGAAGAGGCAGTGTAAGCAAAAAACCAGTAAAATTTACAGGTAAATTTCTTCCCCCCACCCCCCAGTACCGAGGATCAAATACAGGACCTTGCGCTTGCCAGGCAGGCATGGCACCACTGAGCTACGTTCCAAGCCCTACTGGTAAATTCAATTATTGTTTATAAGATGAAAATAACTACAACTAAAATTCTAGAGCCAGGGCATGTAGCTCAATGGTAAAGCACTTGTCTGGCATCCCTAGGACCACAAAAAAAATTTTAAATTTAAAAATAAATTTTAAAAAAAGTCAAGGCAGTTGCAACATACATGGGGCAGAGAACATACAAATGTTACAACTCCTGTTATGCTCAGGGAGAAGCTATTAATTCTAAAGTGATGAAAAATATTTTGATTACAAAAATATTTTGATATACTCTTAAAATTTTAAGAGTAACCCACTGGAATAACAGAAAGAGGATATATTGCTTCCAATGTTATTCTCAATTGTCTGAAAGGTGGAAAATTTGTCAGTGACAGAGACTGAAAATAAAAGAATAAAAAATGTACCTGGCAAAAAATAAGACATGGTATTCAAAGCAAAATCAGTAAATAAGGAAAAAAGGTCCTATTACACTGATGAAAGTACAATTCTGCAATAATATATTTAAAGTAAACCTTTATCTAACTAGTTTTGAAATACAAAAAAGAGGGTCGGGGATTTAGCTCAGTGGTTTCCCTGCCTGCTGCGCAAACACAAGGACCCCAGTTTGATCCTTGGTACAAAAAAAAAAAATTGAAATACAAAAAAGAAAAACTTCTAGAAATGAAACTGAAAAGTATGTAATAGCTATGTATAGCCAAGGAACCAAAAATAGTAAGAAAGGCCGGGGATTTAGCTCAGTGGTGCCGCTCGCCTGCCTTGCAAGCACAAGGTCCCGAGTTTGATCCCCAGTACCAAAAAAAAATCTCGTATGCCGTCTTCTGTACCAAAAAAAAAAAAAAAAGTAAGAAAATAGAGAACCTGATATAATTAATAACTGTGATCTCATTGAGTCATATAAAAACTGCATACCCTATAGAAAAAACATACTCATGAAAAATTTAAAAGGGGAGTAAAAATGATCAAGATGGAATATGTATATGTACCAATTCTCCAAGATGAGTGTAGTTATTATGTGTAATATATACTAAAAAATATTAAAAACTTTTAAAACATTATTGCAGTGATTATTAGGAAAAAATTCACAATATCAAATTACAAAGATCATATATCAAATCAGTCATCCAAGCCTACAGCTTTGGTAATAACTGAAAATGTAATCAAGGATTTGTACTAAAGAAGACATTAGGTGTGGTGACACATGCCTGTCATTCCAGCACTTGGGAGGCTGAGGCAGGAGGATGGCCACAAGTTCAAGACCAGCCTTGGCTACATAGTGAGACCCTGCCTCAAAAAAAAAGATATTAGACGCAAGTGGTCTTATGAACAGTATTCCACGGTTTCAAGGAAATCCTTAATGTTAAATAAACTCTTTCAGATGACAAAAATGGTAAAAAAAAGTTTGCCAAGTTCTCCTACACAAGGAGAACTACAGACCCTAATATCAAAAACTGGATAGAAGGATGGCATTCTAATACTAAAAAGTCTAATGTTACTTTTCATTAAAATATTAAAGGAAATAAAGCAATTAACTGAGCAAATATTTGGTAACTTCTCATCCTGTACTGAGAATATAACAATTAACTCCTTGCAAGCTAGGAAGGGCGAGCTCTGTGCCTGGCCAGCAGCTCCTCATCCCCTACCTCCGCGCAGGCAGGTTGATCCCTGTTGCCAGGGTGGACGTGCAGGCGAAAAGGCAGAGGACACCGGTGGAGTACGCCTCCTCCAGTAGCTTCCTCTCCTCACTGGTGAGGCCGCTGTGGTGGTAGGCGACTCCAAAGGGCACAGTGCGCTTCAAAACAGGACACAGGTGGCCCCCACTGATGCTCCTCAGGTTGTTAATCAGCTCACATTTCTCTTTCTCTTTGTGCTTCAGATATTCCCTGGAAAAAAAGATCTGTGAGAAGCATGAACTCTTGATTTTACAGTGATAAATTCTTATCATTTTCATCTGAGTAGATGCCATGTACACATCTGTTATATATATGGGTTTTTTTGTTTTGTTTTTTGCAGTACCAGGTATCAAACTCAGGACCTTGTGCTTGTCAGGCAGGTGTGGCCCCACTGAGCTACATCCCCGGCCCTATATAATGTACTATATTGATATAAGTATGTAAAATGTTCTTGGAATTTCCATCTGACTTCATTAACTCGGTCTTCTTGTGGATTCGAGAACCCTATAAAAATCTGACTAAAGCTAATGAAAAACACAACTATTCAAATAAAAATACAACATTGTGCATAATTTCAGATGGTTCATAGAAGTTCATTCCCACAATTCCTATGAATCCTTGGACACCAGGTTTAGGCTCCTGCTCTAGATGTTATGACTGATTTTTCCCCACAATATATATCCTTAAAGGGCATGCTTTGTTCTATTTCAAGGCATAAATTTTCCTTTCTGAAGATGGACACGTGTTAAATCATACTACACGGTTATGTGGTAAAGTACTATCTAAATACTAGGACTTTAGAAACCTCAATTAATATCCTAAATGTTAATATCTCTAATTACTTCAAGTATCATAACACTTTAAATTTTTTAAGGAAAAGAACTAATTCAAGTACCTAAATCCTTTAAATTATTCTAAGAAAATGAATGATTTACTGAGTGTATTAATACCTTATTTTAAGAAAATGAGTGATTTACTGAGAATACTTCAATGGTAATTCATCACTGTAATAAAGATTATCTGTTACCAAAATCAGCAACTCCTTGATCTTATCCCAAATATCTGTACCATTCAATGAATTTAATTCCACAGCAGACAAATCTATGATAGTAAGATTGGGAAGGGAGATGGAGGATAACTAGATTAGAATCCAGGTTAATGGTCTCTTACTAGTGTATAGCCAAGAAGTGAGAAAAAAAGGTAAAACAACACAGAGGACAAACAGATGCAGAAAAAATATTCACCTATTAGTATTTAAAGTCACTTTATACTTATTCTGGGTAAAACAGAGCCAACATTAAAGAATCATAAAATTTCAAACCAATAAATTTCTTAGGTACTTAGGAAATTAAACTCAAACATCCACACAGTGTAAGCGTGAAGTTGACCAAGAAAACAAAAACTACGACATTTCATTCCTGAGAAGGTTATGATGAAGATGACTTGTCCCCACAGTGATTAGTCCTTTGATTAGTTCACTGTATGTTGGACTTGCCTGGGTCCCACTCCCAGAGACTCTGATTTGTCTAAAAAGTAACATGGACATTGAGATTTTTAAAGTCATTGGAATTTTTTTAAGCGAATCAAGGTGATTCACTGAACTGTCAAAGTTTTGAATCACAGATCTAAAACTTTACTCTGGTTAGCCTTCTTTTAATGTAACCTTGGGAATTTTCTATTTTAAATGTGAATTTCACAGTTAAATTTTCTTTCTTCAAGGTCAATTTCTTTAGAATCAGTAAAAAATATAATGTTATGCAAGAAGTAATGAGTACTCGAGAAACAGGCTATATGACCTATAATTCATGATGTAAATAGAACAGAATATTTATAAAAGATTAACATACTTTTTTAAAAATTTGCATAACATTTCTGCTACGTTTTCACAGTTCTTCTTACTGGGACAAAAAACTAAGCAGGAATAATTGGGTATAACTTCTGTCACCAATGCCACCAAGTGATCGGGATCCATCTTTTTCAGGGAATCAGAATACTGCAAAAAAACAAGATGTAGGAAGCAGGGAGTTAGTAACTATGAAAATCTGTTGTTTTTTACCACTGTAATTTGAAAGATAAATTAAACCACCCATAATTCTCAGGCAGGGATTTAGCTCAGTGGTTCCACTGCCTGCCTCGCAAGTGCAAGGTCCTGAGTTTGATCCCCAGTACCAAAAAAAAAAGCCACCCATAATTCTGAACTTCTCATTTAGTTAATCTGATCATTTAAAGAAAAGATGAAACTCATTTTAAACATCAAAATGCTAAATTTCACCTTCCTCTTAAGATTATTTGCTAAAGATTTGTTTGTTAGGTATATTCAGTTTGAAAAAAAGGAATTAAAAAAGTGAATTAAATTACAGAAGTGAAAATAATTGATGTTATTGATAACACTATTACATGTCCATTCCTACCAAAGCAGAACAAAAAAATCCACAGAAAGAAACAGATTTATCCTTTTTTGATTTGTCCTAAATAATAGTTGAAGGGCTGCATAAATAAGATATGTTCTTTATTATTACCAATAGTTCTCAAACACACAGATTTATTAATACTTTCAGAAACAAAAAATACTATAACACTGAATTAGGACAATTTTTGTAACATGCAACCATGAGGAACTTGGAAAAAAAGGTAAAGTTATTTAAAATTCTCCTCAGTTCCTTTTACTTTACTGAAAATTAACATATAGATTTAAAATATCTTATAGAATTCTAAACGTGTTATAAAATTCCTTTCTCCCTTTTTAATATCCAGCCTTTTAAAAACTTAACTGAAGCCAGGCACACCTATAATTCCAGCACCAGGGAGGCTGAGGCAGGAGGATTGCCCTGAGTTCAAGGCCAGCCTGAACTGCATAGCAAGATCCTGTCTCTATATAAATAAATAAATAAATAAATAAATAATAAAACAAAACAACAATGGGCTGGGATTTAGCTCAGTGGTTCTGCTACCTGCCTCGAAAGTGCAAGGTCCCAAATTCTATCCCTGGTACCAAAAAACAACAACAATAATAAGGGCCGGGGATTTAGCTCAATGGTTCTGCCACCTGCCTCGAAAGCACAAGGTCCCAAGTTTGAACCCCAGTACCAAAAACAACAACAATAACAACAACAACAACAACAACAACAAAAACAGAAAAAAAAATGTGATTGCAGTACCAGGGACTGAATCCAGGGCTTTCACACCGAGCTTTGTCCTTGGCCCCTTTTTAACTTTTTTATTTTAAAACACAGTCTTGCTACATTGCTGGGGCTGCGCTCAAATCTGTGATCCTCCTCCCATAGCCTCCCAGAGTGCTGGAATTACAGGTGTGCACCCCTAAGCCAGGCTCCTTTTTAAATTTTTTTGTTTTGAGATATGTTCTTACTCAGTTGCTCAAGCTGGCCTTGAACTTGTGATCCTTCTGATATTAATGGCAGTCATTAACATTTTTTATTCCGATACATCAACTATATGGACTATAGATTATTCTTTGTTCTTGCTGCAGATTGAATAAACATTTACAGGAGAGGTTTCCAGATTTTCTTGGTTCACAGAGTCCCAAAGCCAAAAGAAATATTTAAGATTTATTAATTAGTCAACACCTTCATAAATAAGTACTTCCAATTTAGTAGCCATCTGAATAAAAAATATTTTAATTCTTCAATAACACAATGGCTCATTAATAGGATGTGCACACAATGATAGCATCTTACAATCTTTGGACTGAGACTGGACACAGCCATCATCATTTCAGACTGGTTTTCACATGATATTTACATTCAGAAAATATAAAAACTCCAGTTTCAAAGAAAGGAATATATTGTGATCTGACATTAAAACTGGAAACTGGGGGTGGGGATGGAGCTCAGTTGTGGAACACCTGCTTAGCATGTGAGGCTTTTGATCTTCAGCACTAAACAAAACAAATGAAGGAGAGCAGGGAACTAGCTATGTAGATCCAGTAGTTTGTATGTTGTCCAACGCATGCCCCAATCAGCCATTTTTCTCAAAAATGTATAACCACCCAATGGCACCTATGTGAATCTTCCGTGGTGCCCAGGACACCTGGGCACAAAGTCTGGGAAGCTGAGATTTCAGGATTATCAATATTACCTTATAATGAAGGAGGCGTGAAAAAGTCATGCCGCTTTCAGCTTTGCTGTCTACTGCATATATTGTATGGTTTATTTTCAGATATTCTTTTAATTCAACCTGAATTAAGAGGAAATTTGAAATTAGTACCATATATTAATTATTTTCAGTTTTAAATTTTGTAAAATATGAGGTAAAAAGGACAGCTATATAGGGGTGGGGATTTAGGTCAGTGGTTCTGCCGCCTGCCTCACAAGCACAAGGTCCCAGTTTGATCCCTGGTACCAAAAAAAAAAAGAGGCTCTTGCAAGGACAGCCATACAAAGATTTTAGCTTTTCTGAGATAGCTAAATCTTTTTTTTTTTTGCAGTACCAGGGATCAAATTCAGGATCTTGCGCTTCCGAGGCAGACGTGGTACCACTGAGCTAAATCCCTGGCCCCGAGATGGTTAAATCTTAAACATTCTTCAACTTAAAAGTTCTTACTTTATCATTTCTTTTTTTTTAACCATCTTTTTCCCTTTAAATCAGAATAGGGATTAATATCCTTGAAAAAATATTTTTGAGTTAAGTAGTCACATATCCAAAAGGAAACCAGGCACTTTTGTATTTGTTACAAGAAGTATAAGTGATTTATGGTCTTTACATTCTTTGTTAAGGAGTTGTTTTTTCTCAAGATCTAATATTTTCTGTTAGTTACCAGTTGTAATTCTAAATACTACCATATTATTTTCAATTTCAGTATTTGTGAAAAAAATAGTTTATAAACACAGCTCATTACACTTTTGAATGGATAGTGTCTACTGTGCTAAGGTCTGAAAATATTTCTTTTTTTTGGTACTGGGGATCAAACTCAGGACCTTGCGCTTGTGAGGCAGGCTCGGTGCCACTGAGCTAAATCCCTGGCCCTGAAAATATTTCTTAAAAATTTATATATTTGGTGTGAATGTAAACATATCAAATTTCAAATTAAAATTTGGTGATTTGAAAACCTATTTGATACAGAACATTCAGGCAGTATATGTCCATTACAGGCTACTTTCAAGTAATGAATTATATTTGTTTACTTTCTTTAAGCAATTTGGGAATGCTGTTACTGAGGAGTTTACATTTAAATCTATGTTAAGTCTTTTTTTTTGGTACCAGGAATCAAACCCAGGGCCTTGCATTTGCCAGGCAGGCAATGCACCACTGAGCTATAGCCCCGGCTGTTAAGTCTTAATTTATTAAAAAAGCATTACAATTACCAAAGCATAGATATTTGAAAATATTTTCAGATAAAGTTTTTAAGGTGTCAATAACTCCAAATATGTCTCATTGAACTGTAGTCAAATGAAAAATTTACTTTAGAGAATAAGAAATGAAAAAATGAGATATGAAAAAATTCATTCCATAAATGTCCCCTGAGGGCTCAGAAGCCAAGCACTGTTCCAGATGCTACAGACTCAAGAGTGACCCCAGCCAAGATCCTGGCCCCCAGAGTTTACATCCACTGTACACAAACCTGAGCAGAGTCACGGTGACTGGAATTAATGCCCTTTCTACTCCACAGAAATGTTAAATTACCATATTCACTGCTTTTATTTCTAAGGTGAATACACAACAAGTCAATACAGTGCAAACTTTAGGTACATACATACTGGTCTAAACTGATTGCTGTAATACTCTGCTTGAAGGAACTCCTGCAGGTCCTGGACATTGTTTAACGTTGCACTCATACCAATAATTTGAGTTGTTTCTAAAAAGGAAACAAAACCTCAAAGTAGTAAAATGTGTTATTATATCATAAAGTAATTTTAGCAACATTTTAATGCTCTAAATTCTTCCTAAGTGATCTGGGAAAGAAAGGGGAGGGAAGGTAAGAAAACTGCAAATACACGTTGACTATCCTTTATAGGAAATGTGTGGGGCCAGAAGTGGTTCAGATTTCAGCTTTTTCAGCTTTTTGGAATAGTATCTTAGGAAGGTGACCCAAGGTGCAACACAAAACCCACTTATGTTTCACATACACCTTATACACAGTCTGAGGGGATTGGACACAAAGTGTTTAGTTTATCTACTTTTTTACTGTGACTCATTACATGTAAGTGAAGTTTTCTATTTGGCTTTTGGATTTTAGATTTTCTGATTAAGGATAACCAACCTGTACATTACCAGACTATTAATCCTGAAAGGCACTATTTAGAATTTTACAAAAATTTCAAACTTGAGGGGTGGGGATGTAGCTCAGTGGCACAGCACCTGCCTGGCAAGCATGAGTCCCTGAGTTTGATTCCTGGTACCAAAAAAGAAAAAAAAATTCACACTTGGAAAGAAGTAAGATATTTAAGGGGGCTAAGCAAAGATCTGAGTATAAATCTGTGTATTGCTGTCTAACTGGATCATCCTTATGCAGAGTTACAATAAGCTCCTGAAGTGAGGCTAGAGACAGAGGTGGAGTATAGGACACAGGGCTAGATGAGCTCCGACCTCTTGCCACATGAAAAGTTCTTTAGGAGACTTGCTACTAGGTTGTCAACTTCTAAAAACTTTTTTAAAAATAAAAGTAGTGTAAAGCTCATGGAGCTGTATGACTTCATGGGCAGTACAAAGATGGCTGCTTTCTAGACTTAGCTATTGAATTAAAATCCAAAGCAGCCTTCTTAGCAGAGGTTTCTTCATGCTGCTATCTTATACATAGAAATGCACATTCGGATGTTATCTGAAAGGGAAGTGCTGCCCCTTCACAATCCATAAGGGAGACAATGAATCTAGTGTTAAGAGTAGAAGACTAAATCGAGAAAGGCCTTGCTATGAACTTTGGGATTTACACAAATAGAGGGAAGCGATTACAGAATGAGAAATAGTACAATGCACTAAATAGGTCTGCATCCGGGAAAGATCACTGTACCTGTAACAGACAAGTCAGGCTTGGGAGCAGAGAGGGCAGTGGTCAAGACCAAAAGCAGAGGAAGAGTTTGCTTTCTGTGGCAGTCTAGGTGAGAAAGAATGGTGGGGGGAAGTCAGTAGTCAGAAAGACTTGAAGGAGAGAATTTAAAATATATTCATGAGGTAAACCAGAAAGGATTTGGTTTATTGACAGAATAAGAGTAAAGACTGTTAAGACTTTCCCTAGCTACTTGGGAGGCTGACACAGAAGGATTACTTGAACACCCGAGTCCAAGGCCAGTCTGGCCCACACAGTGAGACCCCCAACCTTTAAAACAAATCTTGGGCCAGAGATTTAGCCCAGTGGTTCTGCAGCCTGCCTCACAAGTGCAAAGACCTGAGTTCAATCCCCGGTACCAAAAATAAATAAATAAATAAATAAACAAACAAACAAACAAATCTTAAGATTCTGGCTTGGCTGGCTGGCTGTTGAGTGGTGGCTGGGAACTCAGGCAGAAGAATGGGTCTGAAGGAAATGAGTTAGGCTTTGGCCAAGCCTTCAGTAGGAGTGTCCACTTGGCAGATGGTATTACTAAGAACAAAAGTGTGACCTGAAGTACAGATTTGGAGCCAGCAGTACACAGGAAGTACTTAAAATCAGGAATATGGATGGCAATTAATTGTAGGAAACAAGGGATCAGACCATGATAAATTTACTGTAGCACCAATGCATAAAATGAGTAAGCTTAGAAAGAGATGTACAGAACAAAATCAAGAAGGAAAAACTAAACAGGCTAATTTTATTCAACTATCTATTAAGTGTAAGGCACTGGTAACCAAAGGACAAAGTTACACAACAGCAAACAAATGTCCATTACGTGGTGGGTACCTTGTTAGATGCTTTACAAAGATTAACTCTTGCCATCTTTGCAGCAAGTCAGTGAAGATGGCTTGACTCCAGTAACCCATATGTGACGTCGAAGGAAACAGGAACAGGTAATAAGACCTCCCAGGGCCATGCACCTAGGACAGTGAGCCAAGATTCGGATCTAGCTTGAGTCTGTCCTCAGTCAATACGATGTGCTGTCTATCTCTCATTGCTAAGGCAGAATTACACAGAAGCAGTGTGAAAGCCTAGAGAGAACAATGCTTCCACACCCAAAGAAAAAAGAATAAACAGATACCAAAGAAAAACTAAGACAAAGACAGTCAGTGTACACTTAATTTGAGAAGTGGATGATTATTTCCTCTTCCTTTTTTTTTCTTCTTCCCCTGTTTTAAGGTGTATAGAATTTATGACATTTGACATACCCTATATTTTCTTGTTTATCTGCTTATCATCTGTTCACACTCACTAAAATGTAGGCTAAAGGCAGGTATAGTACCTTATTCTTTTATTCTGTTATCTCTAGCACTTAAAATAGTACCTGCTGGCACACAGTGGTGTTCAATAAATAATGTTAAAATAAATGATTATAAAATGCTACAATCTGCTGTCAAAATTTTAAAACAAATTTTGGAGGGTTGGAGGGGTAGCTCAGTGGTAAAGCACTCAAATGAGTGAGATCCTGGGCTCAACTTGCAGCACTTTCTCTCCTCAAATCATTCTCCCCACCATCACCACCCGGGTGCTGGGGATTGAACTCAGGACCTTGTGCTTGCACGGCAGGCATGGTACCACTGAGCTAAATCCCTGGCCCTCCTTAAATCTTAAGGTTTGACCTTTACAGCTAATACCTGTCTCATATGTAAGTACTGCAAATCCATATCAATACAGGGATACATTTAAAATACACATTTCTGTACATTTAAAGACTACCCAAAAAACAAAACAAAACAAAACAAACAAACAAACAAAAGACTACCCAATTTGCAAAGTAGTTCCTAAAGCAACTAAATGTACTTCTTTATTGTCAGGATGATGGGGATGGCAGCTGGCAGTGGCAAAGCCTTGCTGAAGGCTGGGTGCCAGGTGGGCACCACAGGCTGCTTCACATGTGTTCTCTCATATAACCCTCACAATGATCTCATCAGGCCAGGGCATTACCATTTCCACTTCACAAAGAAAGAAACAGACTAGTGACACAGGCTAGCAAGTGCATGAAAATAACAGAGTTCCTCCAACACTAATTTCATTTATCCTCATAATTTCACTCATCTAGCCATTCTGCCAACCAAAATTTATAAGCTCATTTTAGAAATTTAAAAACTTAAAAATAAATGTTTTAAACTAAAGTAAAACCTTAATCTATATAATTTAGTGATCTCACAGAACCTTTATAGATAGGTCTCTGGATTAAAGTCAATAAATACTTACTGCTTGTGTAGAGGATTTTTGCTAGGGTCATTTCCAGTATAGCACCACGGCTCCCTTCACCAATCATGTGCAACTTTTGAGATTAAAACAAAACAAAAGAGAACAGAGTGAATCTTCATATAATGCCCACATACACCACAAACATATCTGTATGGGATGAATGTACAATCTTTGCTTTATAACTCTTCAACATTTTGGTTATAAAAACTATAGCATCAAGACTTTGATTGTCTTGTGGTATTTTAAGTTAATGAGTTCTGGGGGAGCAATACCCTGACAGATCTGAAATTTATTATCATGCCTAGCCTGAATGAGACCTTTGCAATGGGCTGAGGATTTAGATCAGTGGTTCAGCTGCCTGCCTTGCAAGTGCAAGGACCCAAGTTCAATCCCTGGCACCAAAAAAAAAAAAAAAAGAATGAGACCTTTGCAAAGCAAACAGGCCACTCTCAGCAAACTACAGACTATTCGCAGTAAACAAGACAGCTGGCCATAAAAAATGTTTAGGGTAGAATATACAATCTCCCAGGAGCTGAGAAGTCCAGTGATTGTCTGCACACCTGCACTGACCATTCTTGGACCCTCAGTCATAAACATTTATGATCATAACCCCCTTTTCAATCCCTAATAAACATGATTTTCTTCCCAGCTAGCTGCTAATATCTCTCTTGATGTTAGCTCATCCGCCCATGGATGAAATCTCTTCTAGTTAGCTGCTGATATCTATCTCTTGATGTTAGCCCATCCAAACACAGATGTAATAGATTCGGCTTTTGCCAGCAAGGTGCTGAAATCTGTCCCCAGTTTCAGTCTCTGCTCACTGGAATAAATCTTTTCTCTCACAAAGCCTGTTCCAAATGGTCTCACATGCACCACTCATAATACTTATGAATATAAAAATGTCTAAACATGGACATATTCACATTTTAAGAAATACTTCACATAAAATCAAATTTAAGATTACCAAGCATGGAATGTCTCATCTGTTGTCATGCCTTATATCTAGATGTCTCCACAAAGTCTCATGTGTTCATACATGAGGATTTTGTAAGGTGACTGGATCATGGGTGATACTGGATTAGACCACCAATGGGTTTATAGCTGGGTGTGCTGTTGGGAGGTGAAGCCTGGTGGAAAGAGGTGGCTAACTGGGTGTGGCCTGGAATATATATATCCCTCTTCATGCCTTGATCTTGCCTTGCTTCCTGCCTGCCTGCCATGAACTATTTCTCCTCTTTGATACCCCTCTGCCATGGTACCCTGCCTTGGAGCCAGGTGACTATGAACTGAAATCCCTACAAACTGTGAGCCAAAATAAACCTTTCCTCCTTTAACTTTGGGTGTCGGCATCTGACAGAAGAAGACCCAAAAGAGCTGAGAGACTCTGACCATGGCCCCAAAAGTAATGCCTGAGGAGACTTAACTGACCTTGATATATATATCAGGAAGCAAATCACGATTGACAAAGGTCTCACTTTAACTTGGTCTTGAACATCCAGCAACAAAAGGATAATAGCCTACAGTGGCGAGGATTCAGCTCAGTGGCACAGCACCTGCCTCACAAGCGCAAAGTCCTGAGTTTGATCCCCAGTACCATGAAGAAGAAAAAAAAGAACAAAAGGATATAGCCAGAGATATATATGAGTAATAATGATATAGCCTAGATGTAGAGAGAGGGGCTCCAATCACTGACCCCTGCTGACAGCTCCAAGGCCAGCTGGTTACAATTGCTATTCCAGCCCTTAAAAACAGTGTCTGATGTGGCTCCTTCCTCAACCTCCCTTTCCAGTCTATTGCTCATGTTTTGGTCATATGTGCTGTAATCTCTTGGTAAAGCTTGTTTATTTTTGCCTAGAAGCTGCCAAACTCCAAGTAGTCATACAGAGAAACCCTCTATAAAGGTGCCAGACTTCTTCCAAGGAGGCCCATCAGATGAACCTCCCTGCTGAGGAGGAAATGCAGGGGAGGGTGTAGATAAGGAAAAGAGGATGAAGGCCTTGTTGAGCTTTGTCAGAAGTTAAAGGAGAAGAAAAGAAAAGAAGTTAATGGAGAGACTTATTAAGGGCAGTGGCCTGCGCCTAAGGCCGAGGATTTAGCTCAGTGGTTTCGGGCAAGCGACCCGAGTTCGATCCGGCACCAAAAACAAAACAAAACAAAAAAACAAACAACAAAAGATAAAGGCAGGTAAACTACAGCAATCAGAAAGACAAACGTAAGGGCCAGGGATTTAGCTCAGTGGTTTCAATGCCTGCGCTGCGCAAGCGCAAGGACCCCATCCCCGGTACCAAAAAAATAAATAAATAAGGAGGACAAAGGCAAAAATCCTAAACCCCTTTACTTAATACATATGCCTAAACTACCTGTCCCTAACCCCCCACCCTTAGTCCTAGCCTCCACTAAACAACAGGAAAGGTCATGTGATGGGACGAAATCCAAGGGTAGGACCAAAAACAGCCATGGAGCCAATCAGATTCCAAAAGCCTACATGGGACAAAGAATTCAATAAAAAGAACTGTAGCCAAGAATCCAGGAGTATTTCACTTTCGAATGCTCCCTACCCCTCCAGATTAGCTATCCATCATCTCTCTCTCTTCCCCCTTTTTCTCCACCTTCAAATAAATTGTCTTCTTTTAGTTTAAAAAAAAAACAAAACAAAAATGGCCGAGGATTTAGCTCAGTGGCACCGCTCCCTTGCAAGCCCAAGGTCCTGAGTTTTATCCCTAACACCACAAACAAAAACAAAAACTGTGTGTCGGGTATTCTGTCCGAGCAATGAGAAAGTAAGACACCTATATTGTCTGTATACTAAAACAAATTACTTATTGTTAGAGGTACTAATAGACCCACATAATCAGTTCCACAAATACAGTATGTTAGGATAATAAAAATGTTGATAAATTTCAAGTAACCAACCTCATCTACGACAACCAGACCGAGACTACTAATCCTTCCAGTTTCAATCAAGGAGTTCACGAGGCTATGTGCTTTCTCAATAGTGGCAATATATATTGATTTCTTTTCCCTTCTTTTAGTTGGAGGAAATTTTCCTTTGCTTCCAGCATATTCTTCAACAAAGAAACCAAGTTCTATACCGAAACTTGACAAACCTGAAATCTAAATATTAGTTAAGATAAACAAAAACACAAATAAATAAGCACTCTATTACTAGTCACAGGGACTTTTTAAAAAAGCTAAGTTAGGGGCCAGGGATTTAGCTCAGTGGTTCCGCCACCTGCCTTGTAAGCACAAGGTCCTGAGTTTGATCCCCGTACCAAAAAAAAAAAAAAGATTAATTGGTGTTTAATACCAATTGATGGGAAACAACTACATACTAGACATACATATCTAAGAAATACCATAAAAATAAAGGGTTGATTTTGTAAATAAAGGTAACTTTTAAACTACACAATAAAGGTGAAAATAAATTTCAGCTATCTCCTTTGATGTCAAAAAGCAATACTCATTTATTTTAATCAAAAAGTTGATAGGCCAGGGATTTAGGTCAGTGGTGCCACGCCTGCCTTGCAAACTCGAGGTCCTGAATTTGATCCCCGGTACCACACCCTACTCCAAAAGTTGGTTTGTTTCTGCTTGAAAACATTTAAGATGGAGGTTATCCACCAGTTTAGAAATAATAAAACTTTCTAGAATAGGTAGTTAGTATCTGAAGCAATCGCAGGCAAATACGCTGGTTTTGTATTTTCTAAATATATTCTCTATCATGAAGAGGTACTTCTTTATAGTTGATACAAAGTTATTATTCGTGCTACTGTTTAGCTCTTAGTGTCATATTAACAAACAACGTTTGTTTAAAAACATACCTTTTCTTGTTCGCCGCCTGCTGCGCAAGTGCAAGGACCCAGAGTTCGATCCCCGGTACCAAAAATAAATAAATAAATGAATAAAAATAAAAACATACCTTTTCTTGGACAATTGCCACATATGGAAGTATCATTAAAACATCTTTTCGCCGGCAAAGCAATTCCTGTAGCATTAAGATCTCAGCTACGAGGGTTTTCCCACCACTTGTTGGCAAAGAATAAATTAAATTTTTTCGTTCTTGTACACAACTCAGTGTTAAGCAAGTATGTTGCCATTCTGTGGAATTTAAGCGGGGGGGGGGGGGCTCAGTGTTAAGTACTGTGTGTTGTGGAATTTAAGGAAAGAAAATCATTAGTTTCCTCTTCTATATTTTCAATCTCAAGAAAGTTTTCCATGAAGGGAAAAATCAAACCCTTCTTTCTGTGGCAATTAGCTCATAAGGGTAAATGCACTTATAGTCAATGTTAAATGTCAACTATCCCATGCACACGGCCAGTGTGCTAGCTCAGGCCTGGGCAGGGCCAGGTAAAGCTGATTCACCATCAGCTGCAGACTTTGGAGACTCTAACAAGGAGAGGCAGAGCCCTGGGGGACAAGGGGCATGACAGGACACCAGAGAAACAAAATAACAGCAAAGGACCTATGTGAATTCTAAGCCTTTCCTCTTATATTCTGCAAGATTATGGGAGCTTACCTTCCTCATTCACCCAAAAGTCATCTTAGAAATAGAAGGAGGGGTGCCAACCATGGTGGTGCACACCTGTGATCCCAGCACTTAGGCTGAAGCAAGAGGATCGCCACAAGTTCAAGGCCAGCCTAGGCTACATAGTGAGTTCAAGCCCAGCATGAACTACATAGTGAGGCCCTGTCTCAAAAAAAAAAAAAAAAAAGAGGGAAAAAAATCCACGAGGCTTTGCACAAACCAATAAAAATTTCAACTGACTCTCTTAGGGATCTGAACTTTGAATGGTTCAGATACCATTTTAAACTGCTAAGACTGTTTAAAGCATAAAACACTAGAATTACTATATTTACCTGTACATCTGAGCTTCATTCATACAGCTTAGCAAGGTGGGATTCATGAAAACAGAACAGATCCAAGACATGGTGTGAACATTAATATAGATGCTTTGTAGAATAACAATGTATGAAATCATGAAAGTCTTCAAAATGTGTATTAGTATTTTATCTTTAGAAAAGCAGGCAAGCCAGGCATGGTGGAGCACGTTTGTAATCCTAGCACTTGGGAGGCTGAGGCAGGACAACCACTCTGAGTTCAAGGCCAGCCTGTACTACATAGTGAGACCCTGTCTCAAAACAAAAACAAAACAAGAAAAACAGGCAAAGACCTGACATTACACAGCAGGCCGAAATGCAAATGGCCAATACATACATAAACATTCAACTGCAGTTTTGGAGGGTTGAAAAAATAAATTCTTAAAAAAAAAAGAGATCCATATGTGTAAAATCCAGAGATTGGCAGTGAGGAGAAAGAGGCATTCTCCTCTACCATTTGTGAGAACACAAACTGCTACGATCTTTCAGGAAGGTAATCTAGCAGCATCAAAAATAAAACTGTGTATTGCTTTTGATTATTTCTCAGACCCTGCACCTACACAAGGGGATAAAAAGACTCTTCAGCACATTCATCACAGCTGTGCCTGTGACTAACAAGGGGTGGGGGTGGCAGGGTTGAATGAATTGTTGTACAATCACATGCTATAACTCTTTGCAGTTTAAAAATGGGAGGGGGGTAGAGCTGGGTGTCGTGTATGCCTGTAATCCCAGCGCTTGGGAGGGTGAGGCAGGACTGCTGGGAGTTTGAGGCCAGCCTGAGCTACACAGTGAGACCCTGTCTCAAAACACCAAACAACAAAAAAGATCATAAATGTGTGTTGAGTAATTACATATAAATATTTGAAATCTATACATAAAAAGATTGGGTTTGAGATGATAGTTTTTTTGGTATTAGGAATCGAACTCGGGTCCTTCAGCTTGCAGGGCAGGCAGCAGAACCACTAAGCTAAATCCCCAGCCCAAAAAGATTGGGTTTGAATATATGTTTTAAAAATTAAATTAGGCTGGGCATGGTGGCACATGCCTATAGTGGGAGGCTGAGGCAGGAGGATCACTGTGAGTTTGAGGCCAGCCTAGGCTACAATGAATTCAAGAGTAATCTGAACTACACAGCAAGGCCCTGTCTCAAAAAAAACAAAAATTAAATAAATTTAAAATGTTAAAAATTAAGTAAGAATTACTAATGGGATATATCTCAAAGGTACAAGAAACAGGTCTGAATCAAAGTTCCAGGTGACTTTTTTTTTCCAATGAGTACCAAATATTTACAAATGACTACCCCTTTTTCTTCTTTTGCATTGCGAAAGATTGAACCCAGGACCTCACATATACTACCACAGGCAAGTGATCTATCACTGAGCCATATCCCAGCCCTGTATTTTTTTTCTTTAAAGATATTTAAAAAATACTAGGTGAGTTTGATCCCCGGTACCAAAAAAAAAAAAAAAAAAAAAATACTAGGGTAGGGGTTGCTCACCATACACAAGGCCCTGGGTTTGACCCTTAGCACCAAAAATAAAATAAATTAAAAAAAATTTTTTTAAAAACCCAAACCTGGGGCCAGTGATTTAGTTCAGTGGTTCCGCTGTCTGCCTTGCAAGCACAAGGTCCCAAGTTCGATCCCCAGTACCAAAAAATAAAAAAATAAGTCAAACCAGGGACAGGAATTTAGCTCAGTGGTTCTGCTGCCTGCCTCGAAAACACAAGGTCTGGAGTTCGATCCCCAGTACTAAAAAAAAAAAAAAAAATTAAAACCCAAACCAAAAAAACCCTTAAAGTTAATATGTAACACTTGAATACAATTTGAGACTATCCTTTATCATTTTCTTTTTGGTTTTTATCCTTTATCTTTACACATTAAATAATAAATGATATCAACTTAATTCTCAACATTTACACAAAACACATTAAGCACACAGTTGTTATGATAAAAAGGCAAAGGAAACAATGTAAGGTTGAGGTTCCTGTCAGAATCTCCTTGAGGCTGCTGCAACACAGGTTGCCAAGTGCCACCCAGGGGCTTTGAGGCAGCCGGGTGGGCCACAACGGGTGTTTCCACAAGTTTTCAGACAGCACTGACACTTCGGGTCAGGATCTGCACTTTTGAGAACCACTGCTTTAGCATAGTAAAAGTCAGCACATGCACTTATGCCTTAAATTTGCCATGTTATTAAACCAGATTTACAAGGAAAAAAGAGAATTAAAGCAAGGTGGTGCACACCTATAAACTCAGCACACAGTGGCTGAGACAGGAGGATCACCACAAATTTGAGGCCAACTTGGGCTACATAGCTCAAGGCCAGCCCGACCTACATAGCAAGACTGTCTCAAAAGAAAAGAGAGAATTAAAGCTGGGCATGGTGTTGCACCCCTATAATCCCAGCACACCAGAGGCTGAGGCGTGAGGATTGAGGCAGGGGGATCACAGCGAGTTCAAGGTCAGCCTGGGCTACATAGTGAGTCCAAGGCCAGCCTGAACTATATAGCAAGACTGTCTCAAAAATAAATGAATGAATGGATGGATGGGCTGGGGATGTAGCTCAGTGTAGGGCCCTGTGTTCAATTCCCAGTACCAAAGAAAAGTTATTTACTGAAGTCCTTACACTTAAGAAGCTGTCAGTGTAAAAAAAAAAAAAAAAGAGCTATCAGTGTAATTACTAATAGTCATTACAATATCTAATTTGGCATGTCTTTGACAAAGAATATAACTTGCACAAAGTGTTACCTCATTTTATAGATGAGGAGCAAAGTTTAACAGGGCCAGCATTCATAAGGTGACCTGCAACCTCCAGCAGTTGGAAACCTACTAGAGTATGGCACACACATTGCTAATTACATAGGAAAAAGGTAAATATGAGTCTTATCCTCAGAGGATTCATTCCAGCAGGAGGTGCAGATTAAAGAATTAAGTGCTAGGAGAAAAGCAGAGCACTAACATCTACTTTGAGGACAATATAGCCCGTTAGCTCTTAAATCAGGAACCTCACAATTTAGAATTCATTAGACTCCTGTGGAGTCTGGGATTAGACTATTTCCCCACTCCTTATTCTTCAACCTGATTCTATTCTTCCTGGGATAACCACCCACATTTTTATATATGATCTATGTAAGGTCTTTAAGATTCCAATAGGAGTTCCAGAAATAATTATGAAGTGATTGATGGGCTGACCTCCCAGTATGATGGCAACTGTCTCTTCTTTGTAAAAAATGACAAAATTGAAATATATAAAAGGACTCAAGATTTTTAAAAAACATTAAAGATACATTTCTTTGAGCTTAAATCTGAACTGGAGCTGTCTTTAAAGCTGCTTACTTGCCAGGCATAGTGGCACACAACTATAATGCCAGCCCTCAGGAGGCTGAGGCAGGAGAATCACTGAGTTTGAGTCCAGGCCAGTCTGAACTACACAGTGAGACCCTGTCTCAAACCAAAAACAAATAAATAGTAAATAAATAAATGTGTTTTTGTTTGGTACTGGGGATCAAACTCATGACCTTGCACTTGCAAGGCAGTCGGTGGAACCACTGAGCTAAATCCCCAGCCCAAATGTGCTTACTTTTAGCCAATAGTATTACTGACTTCTTTCACTCAAGGCACCTGAATGTTCAAAAGTTTCAACAACTAAATTTTGGTAGATTAAATCAGTCTCAATGACTGAGAAAACTGTGAAGCAGCTAGAAAATCAGAAAAATCAGGAGCAACATGTCAAGAAAGGAGAATTTCAAGAACGGACTGATCAGCAGGTAAGTTGCTGAGAAGTCAGACAAGGCAACTAGATAAGTGTCACTGGGTTTAGACACCCTAGTTGTCACATCTGCAGCCAGAGCATAGAACCCAGCATAGACTGGGAAGAAGAACAATTTCAGGAAAGATATGAGACAATAAGATGACTGCTTTGAGAAGTGTGACTTTGGGGAAAAAGAGGACAAGGGTGGAAGGCTGAAAGGGCAAGAATGTTATTTTCACTTTTCAAGTTGAGACCATGGAAGCATTTGTTTCTATTATCTGTGCTAATATGATAATTATAGAAAATTCTAATTTCATTTCAGCCAAAAGCATTACCATATAATGTTTCAATTCCTTTGAACTGAACATAAAGGTCTCTCACTTTGCTGGGTAATGAATAAAAAGGACCAAGGTCATCTGATGATGACTCAATTGTTTCTTTAGCAACATTAATCTCTTCAGATAGGAGGGCTTCTTTGAGCTGTTTATTCCTAGAAAATATTGGTGTTTGGGCCTTGGCATTTCCAGTCATGGCACTTTTTAGATAATCTTTAATACTTTTTCTTCTATTTGTGTCTGAACTAGCTGGGACTTTAGAAGACAATTCATCACTTGGCTGGGGTTGCTTTATATGATTATGAGGCAATTCTTCATTCTTATGAGAGCATGAGCTCCTGTCTCTTTCTTTAGTGGACTGGTGGCCCAAATCATCTGAAGAGTTCTGCAGGTTTTCAAAGTATAGCACCTGGGAAGAAGGCACATCATACAAAAGCTCATCTCCAGGTTCAGCACAGATGTCTTCACGCCCAGTCTGTTTCTCGGTCTGCTCTCCAGTTTCATAGTCAGTAAAGTCGTTTACATGAGAAATACTGAGTTTGTCTTTGATGCTTTCTGAGCAAAGATCTTCAGTGGCAAAGTCTGTAGCATGTTTCCCCTGTTCAGGTAGTTGCATATATTTCTGTTCCAGGTCATCAACTTGCACTAAAATGGAATTTTCAGTAAAGCTATCATAGTCACCAAACATGTCCTCTTCACTGTCATAATGCTGAAAAGAAAGCAAAAATATTTATGAGCAATTACAGCTTCATTAAGTATAAAAGCTTCAGGGCCGGGGATTTAGCTCAGTGGTTCCGCTGCCTGCCTTGCAAGCACAAGATCCCTAGTTCTATCCCTGGTACCAAAAAATAAAATAAAAACAAATGAATGGATAAGGATAAAAGCTTCAAGGGCTTAGCATGCGCGAGGCCCCAGGTTCAATCCCCAGGATGGATTTTTTAAAAAAATCAAGAATAAAAGCTTCAGTTTAAGGCTGTTAGATGCAAGCTAACCTATGAATAATATTATCAGTATTGTTTTACAGATGAAAAAAATGGAAGCCCAGAGAAGTGAAGTAACTGCTCAAACACTGCTCGTGTAGTGTGACAGTGACTCATTTTCATTCTCTCTTCTGCAGCTGGCTCGGAACCCAGAGTCCAGCACAGGCTCTATCCTCTAGGCCCCGGCTGGATTCTCATTCTTAAACCCATGCTAACACCTTAAGCCACAATTACAAATGACAGATATCCATCGAGATGTCAGCTCTCTACAAGCTTCTGGTAACTGCAACATTCCCCTACCAGGCTCTCAAAACACTACAGCTAGAAATTCCATTTGACCCAGCTATCCACCTTGTAAGTCTCTTCCCAAAAGAGTTAAGGACATCATATTACAGTAATAGATACTTACCCATGTTTACAGCAGCACAATTTATCACAGGTAAACCTTGGAAACAGCCTATATGCCCATCAACATATGGCTAGATAAAGAAAATGTGGTATTTATACACAATGGAGTAGTACTCTGCTATGAAGATAAATTTGAGGCATTCGTAGGTAAAAAGATGCAACTTGAGACCATAATATTAAGTGAAATAAGTCAAGACACAGGAAATGAAATATCCCATGGTTTCTCCTCGAGAAACTAAAAACTATATGTAAGCCAGGCATGGTGGCACGAATCTGTAATTGCAGAATTTGGGAGGCTGGAGCAGGAGGATCACTGTGAGTTCAAGCCAGCCTGGGCTACACAGTGAGCTCAAGGCCAGCCTGAACTACATAGCAAGACCCTGTTTCAAAACAAAAAAAAATTAGAGCAAGAGAGAGAAGGAGGGGAGGGGGGGGAGAGAGAAGAAAATAGAAGATAAACAGGAAGTAGGGAACTCTTTCAAATGGATAGCAGAAAGAGAGATGAAGGGAGGGAAGAGGGAAGGGGGGGCAGGCCAAAAAAGGGAATTAAAGGGGAAAAAATAATGAAAATAAAGCTTTTGCAGGGCTGGGGATTTAGCTCATTGGCGCTGCACCTGCCTTGCAAGCGCAAGGTCCTGAGTTCAACCCCGGTGGTAGAAAAAAAAGAAAAGAAAAGAAAAAGCTTTTGCAAATAGGAAGGGGACCAAGAGTTGGAAGGAGCAGGAAAGGAGGGAGAGTCAAACATGTACTAATAAAAATAGGTCTGGCCTGTAACAAAGTCATGATGCACCACTAGACATTATAGGAAACTGTTCTGAATCTGGAATTGAGATACAGTGTGCACTCCGACTTGGGGAGGGCTACTAAACTGAAGAGCTGTAAGCTTAGGGCAGCAGCACAGTGAAGCGATTAAGAACGCAGAATTTTGCCGGGGATTTAGCTCAGTCGTTCCGTCTCCTGCCTCGCAAGCATAAGGATCCGAGTTCGATCCCCCGTACCAAAAAAAAAAAAAAAAAAAAAAAAAAAAAAAAAAAAAAAGAACGCAGAATTTGGAGTCAGAACTCCGACTGCTCAGGGCCGGATTATTGCGTAAAACCTAAACATAGCTAGTTTCACACAGTAACCAGTGCGAGACGGGTCTTCAGTGAACAGATTTCAAAGCAGGAGGCGCAGTAATGTCTAAGCCCAGGTTAGACTCAGGGCTGTCATTCAGGTGCTGGGATCCACGCTTCCCATCTGAGCCCGGGCAATGCCTCATCAGTGCCGACTGACAGCGGCCACACGGAAGAGAAACAGGAAGGATGCTAGCTATCGCTCCATTGCTGCCACCTGGAAGGAAACTGCCAACGAGCTGCAGCTCCGCGCCCCCTGCGCACCTGGCCTCCCGCCCCGCGATCTGCTGCTAGGTCGGAAGGGCCGGATCGTGTTCCCGGCTCAGGGTGAACGGGACTGGCCCAGGGCTGCCCGCGGCCGTACCTTCGCCGGCTGCGCGGTCTTCCGCCGCCGGCCCCCGGCCCCCGCGGCGTCCTCCTCCTCCTCCTCCTGCACCTCGGCCTCGGGCTCGGCGGGGGCGGTGCACACGCTCGCCAAGCCCGGCCAGGTCCTCTTGCGGACAGACACCCGCCGGCGGATGCGGGACGCGCCTTCCTCCATGGGGCGGCCTGAGGCTCAGCTACCAAACTAAAAGGCCGGGGAGCGTGACAGACAGGGTAGTGGCAGCAAAGGGAAAAAAATGCGCCCGCTTCTCCATCCGTCTCAAATTTATTCCCTTGGCTCCCGAACCGGAAGCAGGGGCACTAGCGCAGGTGCACGCCTTTTTCCGTCCCACCGTGTGACGGGAAATCCGGCACGGGAAGAGCGGGACCAAAAGGTGCTGAGCACGCTTACTCTTCCGCGCGTCTCCAGCGTTTGCCCACGGAACTTTTGAGTGGAGTACAAGGGAGCGCGGGGGAGCGTACCGGAAGGGACTCACCGGGAAGATTTGGAGAAAGGAAGGGACGAGGAATGACTAGAAACCATGGCTGCTGTGGTCGCTGTTTGCAGAGGTCTAGGGAGGAAGAAGTTGACGTACTGGGCAACGGCTGCTATCTGCCTCACAGATTCCGGAGCTCACACGGGTAAAGTGTCCTCGGGGCCCTGCAGCTATTGCCTTGGCCCTAGTGATCGGTCACTTTTAGCAAAACGATGCCTAATTTGTCACTTTTTGCGACTGCCAATTTCTAGGCGATTAAATTTCTCCAAGAAGGTAGGAATCTGTAATAACCGATAACTAGTATTCTGGAACTGAAGCGGATGTGATATGACCAGCTGTTTTCAAATTTAAACATTGAAGGAAAGAGGCGGATGGATTTTTTTTTTTTTTTTAAAGACGCAGGGATTTCGTAAACTTGGCAAGACAGGGACATTTCCAGAGTCACTCAGCAGTAAGTTACATATTTCTAAGGTCCCTGATCAGAGCGAAATTGTGACACAGACCCTCATCTCTGTAATTCCTGCAGTTTTATCATCTCTGTGCTTCTCCATCAATAACTGCTCTCTACAGAGAGTATGTTATTCATTTTCCCTTTGGTAAAACAGTGACTGTCTGTTGCTTCTTCAGTGCCTGTTTGCATTAAAATCTGTCTCGGTGGGTGTGGTGGCATGTGCCTGTAGTCCCAAATTATTAACTTGAGTTCAAGACCAGACTGGGCAGTTTAGAGAGACCATCTCAAAATAAAAAATAAAAAGGGTGGGGATATAGCTCAGTGTGGCTTCTAGTCTACCTGAGGCGTTGTTTCAATCTCTAGTGACAAAACCAAACCAGCTGTCTCTTAACTATGGAATGAAAGGAAAGTGAATGTCAGGAGGAGAGCAGATGAGAAGTTTTATGGGTGGGAAAATATATGCCCCTGGGAATTAGCTAGTCTTACTGTGTTCCAAATCTAAAGCTTGTTAACTAGTTATTGTGAGTGTGTATGTGCTGCCAAAGTGAGCACAACCAGTTATTGTGAGTGTGAAGAATATAAGGCTGGGCCGGGAATTTAGCTCAGTGGTTCTGCTGCCTGCCTGGCAAGCGCAAGGTCCTGAGTTCGATCCCGGTACCAAAAATCAACAAAAACAAAAACATTAGAATATAAGGCTGTTATTTTATATTGTGTCTCTTGATTCATCTTGTCTTCATAAAAACAAAAACCTTTGGTAGCTATTCAACTAACATGCTCTGTTTAATTGCAGTGCAATGGAGAAGAGGTTGTTCACAGTATAAACAAGTAACCAGCAACGAGAACCTGGTAAGAATTATTTTTTCTTTTTCTTTCTTTTCTTTTCTTTTTTTTTTTTTTTTGGTACCAGGTACTGAACTCGGGACCTTGAACTTGCAAGGCAGGTGGCAGAACCACTGAGCTAAATTCCCAGCCCCCTGAATAATTTTTTTTCTTAAAAGGCATTTGTAAATATAACCAAAATCTTTTATTTCAGCTACCTGGTCTTCAGCTATAAGACAGAACAAAATCATTACTCTGAGTGTGGAATTTGTCACTTACTGAATATAATAACTTAAATTTTAAGTAAAGGAATTCCTAGACTCCTAGCAAGAAGCATGGCTTCTGTAATACCATATTATTTTTCTTCCTAGATACTTGTGATTTGGTAATTTCAAAAGGTAGTTTGAGCGCATAGAATAATTGTACATAATTGAACAAAGGCATTGTCCTATCTTTGTCTCAGTCATCACTGTTGGTGGGCTATCTTAATAAATGAGAGGTTAAAATTAATTCTACACCAGGATATTTAACCTGGAGGTATATTTTGATAGGGTTAAAGTACTGGCATGGACTTGGGCAGCATAGGTTTTCTTATTACATGCAAAATTTGACACTAATCATACCATACAAAGGACTTGGCTTGGTGTCAAGTAGGAATATAGTCAGTGAATATGTATTAGTTGAATATAATTCGGATTAAGAAAATTTGAGGAATTGAAAAAGACAGAAGAACTTGTCTAGTTCTGTATTTTCACCTTGATCATCTAATTCACACACCAGACTTTAGAAAGAATAAAGAATGGTGTTTTAGTTATCTTTTTCATTGCTGGGAGAAAATACCCAACATGAGTTTAAAGAGGAAAGGTTTATTTCAGCTTACAGTTTGTAGAAGTTGTGGTCCATAGTGGGCTGGCTGGCTCCAAGGAAAGGCAGCATAGAAGAGGGGCATCTCAGAGGAAAAACAGTCCCTGGCATGGCAAGCAAGAAGCATCAAGCAGCAGCTCTCTTCTTTCCCTTTTAGTCCATCCAGGCTAGAAGCCTGTTGGTTGATATCACCCACACCCAGGGTAGGTTTTCCCTTTAGCCACATTCAGAACCATGCTAAACCAATCAGTGGACTAATCCTATTATCACACCCAAATCCAGTATCACATGCCCATGATTCAGCCACTCCCAAAAGTACCACCTATGGAGACTTTGGGGGGACATCTAGGTATATGCTATAACTGTGGGCTACTTTTTTTTCAAATCATAAATCCCACTAAGACTTGTTGTTTTATTTTGTTTGAGACAAGGTCTCGCTATGCAGTTCAGGCTGGCCTTGAACTATATGTAGCCAAAGCCAACCTCAAACTCAAAGGGATCCTCCTGCCTCAGCCTCCTGAATGCTGGGATTACAGGTGTGCCACCACACCTGGCAATTCCACTGAGACTTTTAATGAAAGCTATGGATCCTTTCCACAGAAAAAGACAGAGACATAGTCATTTGAGATTTTGTATACAGTTACAGAGGATAGTGGTTTTTAAAACCATTTCTAAATTGGAAACTTCTAGGGCTAGGGGAGGAGTGGCTCAGTGGTACAATGCTTGTCCAGCATGCTGGAGCCCTGGGTTCAATTCCCAGTACCACAGAACAAACAAGAAACAGTCTCTTACTGAAGACACCCATTGTGACCAGAGTAGGGCAGCATTATGACAATAGGAAGCAGTAGGGAAGCTGAAAAAAACCAAAAAGGTTGATAGCACCATGTACACCAGCTAGGTGTGGCGATACATACTTGTATTCCCTGCACTGTGGGAGGCTGAGGCACGAAGAGCAAAAGTTTTAGCCCAGGCTGGGCAATTTAATGAGACTCTGTCCCATGATAAAACATTTTTTTAAAAGGCCGGGGATGTACATCAGTATGAAGGCTCTCGATTCAATCTCCAATACTACAAAATTAAAAAAAAAAAAATACAAGTTTAAAGTGTAGTCTGAGGCTGCCAGGTGTAGTGGTGGACTCCTATAATCCCAGCACTTGGAAGGCTGAAGCAGGAGGATCACTGCAAGTTTGAGGCCATCCTGGGCTACATAGTGAGTTCAAGACCAGCTTGACCTACACAGTGAGACCTTATCTCAAAAAACCAAAAAATAGGGCTGGGGATTTAACTCAGTGGTTCCACCACCTGCCTCACAAGCTCAAGGCCCTGAGTTTGATCCCCAGTGCCAAAAATAAATGAATAAAATGGGGATGGATAAACTACAGTATTAAGTGATTATACTAACCTAGAAATGCTGTATATTGTTTATTACACCGTAAGTTTTTCTTAATTTAAGATTAAATGAACTTTTTTTTTTCTGTGAGACAGGGCAGGACAGGCTACAGTTCAGGCTGGCCCCGAACATACTATATAGCTCAGGTTGGCCCTGAACTCATGGCTATTCTACTGCCTCAGCCTCCCCTGTGCTGGGATTACAGACACGTGCCACCATGCCCAGCTATGTTAACTATCAATGAATTTAAAAATTTGTAGTTATCTACAATCTTAGATGAGCAAGGCATTTGAACAGAAAAGCATGGATCAAACTTGAATTTTTTTTCCCATTAAACCTTCAGGGCTGGGGATTTAGCTCAGTGGTTCCAGTGCCAGCTTCGCAAGCACAAGGTCCCAAGTTTGATCCCTGGTACCAAAAAAAAAAAAAAACCTTCTTCAGAGATTAATACTTCCTTGTTAACCAAACTGACATAAAACAAAGTGCTTGTATAAAATATGTACATGATAAGGAAGGTACTATGTGCTTTGGGGTGAATTTTAATGGAATAACCCTAATAATAATAATTTTTAAAAATTGAAAATTAAGGGCCAGGGATTTAGCTCAGTGGTTCTGTCGCCTGCCTTGCAAGCTCAAGGACCCGGGTTCAATCCCCGGTACCAAAAAACAAACAAAACGAGAACTATAATTAGGGCTAGGGATTTAGGTCAGTGGTTCCGGTGCCTGCCTCGCAAGTGCAGGTTCCCGAGTTCGATCCCCAGTACCAAAAAATAAATAAATAAATATGTACCTTTAAAAAAAAAAATTATTGAAAATTAACACTATAATCAGACGTTTTTTTCTTTATCCTAGCCTGTTCCAATGGAAAATCCTTATAAGGAACCCCTTAAGAAGTGTATCTTGTGTGGGAAACGAGTAGATTATAAGAATGTGCAGGTGAGAACTGGTTCTACTTCCCTCTGGTGCTTGGTTTTTAGAATTTTGCTCCTTTGTTAGTCTTGCTTAAAGAAAATACCGTAGCTGAATGTGATGGCACAGGCCTGTAATCCCAGCACTTAGGAAGCTGAGGCAGAAGGATCACCAGAGTTTGAGGCCAGCCTGGGCTACATAATGAGTTCACATGTCTTATGACACTGTCTCAAAAAAGCAAAAAAAATAAATAGAATAATGTCAGCTTTATAACAAGCTTCATGTATAGGTAAGATTTTGCAACTTCCTGCTCGAATCTGGTTATAATTCTGTATATAAGGTTTCCTTATTCCATTAGAAGCCCTTGGCTATCTCAGCTCAGTATTTCTCCCTTTTGTTCGCCCTAGAGGTCTTTACCCTAGAGGTCTTTACAGTGGTTCCCCTTGCCTGTGATTCTCAGGTGATGCGCATGGGCACTGTGGAAATAGCTCCTCCAGGGAAGCTGGCCTTGTATCTTACCATCCCTGTTACTTCTTCAAATATCCTCTCTCTCATCTGGCTGTCAGCAAATTAAAGTGGCAAATTTAGATGAAGTGAATGGTTCTGGTACAGCGTATACTGAGAAGAGTATAAAGTGATAGTTGCGTTGAGGGAGAAAAACCTAGAAGTTACAAAAAATGCAACTTAGTAGGAAGCCTGTACAGAGTGCCAAGAACAGTGCCTGGCACCTGGAAAGTGCAAAAGCATTTAATTAATGAAACAAATTGTAGTAAATGTCCTAGTACTTATATGGGTACGTCTTGAAGACTCCTGTATACTCTGATAATTTACCTCACAATTATGTGATAGCCTGTCATGGTAAGTGAAATGTTTTTGTACCTTGTTGTAAGCAGCAGTATTTTAGAAAATATCTGGAAAAGTCAAGAAAGCAGCTTTAGTACTCAATGATTATGCTGATTAATCTGTTATAGACTTTTGATACAGTAGGTAGATGATAACTTTTGTGATTAGCTACTTAAAAAGATGACTTGTTAAGGATATCTTATCTCATTAAATTTGTCTAAAACTGATTTAAATGTTTACATGAAGGTCATGTGTAAGGTTTTTTTTTTTAATTTGTACATTCAGGACAATAACGTGTTAATAAATTTTTTTCCTCCAAATCTCAAAAACAGCTTTTGTCCCAGTTTATTTCTCCATATACTGGATGCATTCATGGGAGGCATATAACAGGTATTTTAAAAATAATGGCTATTTAAATGTAGATAAGAACTGCATTGATCTATTTCTATCATTTAAGAAAAATGGCAAATGTTCAAATTGTGCTATAGGGCCGGGGATTTAGCTCAGTGGTTCCGGCGCCTGCCTCACAAGCGCAGGGTCCCGAGTTTGATCCCCAGGACCAAAAAAAAAAAAAAATGTTTCAAATTGTGCTATAAATCACTATTAGATGTTACGTATCAGGTGCTATGAAGACTAGAGCCAAGTACCTCCGGGGGAAGCTTCTTAGACCGAAAGGATTATAATTTGTATGTTTCCTTCCTCGTAGAGTTAAATACAGGCTGACAACATGAAGAAAATTTGGGCTTAAGAAAATTGTGCTCTTGATGTTGTTAAGTATTCCATACTCGGCCCAGGGATTTAGCTCAGTGGTTCCGCCACCTGCCTCGAAAGTGCAAGGTCCTGAGTTCGATCCCCGGTACCAAAAAAAAAAAAAAAAAATGTTGATGATAAGTATTCCATACTCATTCCTGGATGTCTACAATTTGGTGTTGCCAAACTAGGGCCCATAGGTAGTCCAGATCCAACGTGGCACTTGTTTTTATAGATTTGTTTACATAGTGCCACATGGTTTTGAGGTGAAATAGCAGATTTGAGTAGTTCTGATGGAGCCTGTATTGCCCATAAAAACCAAAATATTTATGACTCCTATCCTTTACAGAGAAGAACTTATCAACCTTTGACTTAGAAAATTGTTACAAATTTTAAATATTGGCATTTTTTATGAAGAAAGCATTTTCAAAAATTTTACAGGTCTTTGTGGAAAGAAACAAAAAGAAGTTTCAAAAGCAATTAAGAGAGCTCAAATAATGGGTAAGCTTACCTTGAATCACTGAATTGGACTAGTCGATATTTGCTTATTATCTGTTATGAAAAACTTTTATCTCTTTACAGGGTTTATGCCAGTTACATACAAGGATCCTGCATATCTCAAAGATCCTAAAGTTTGTAACATCAAATATCGGGAATAAATTTCATAAAGTTATTAGCAATAAAATAACTTTATAGTAAGTGGTTGTATGCCATTATTGACTCATACTAACCTGTAGGTAGAAGTGTTTCAAGGCTCAAGTTTTCCCCCACACCAGTGAATGCTCACTGAACATAGTGTATATTTGCAATGCTAATACTCATTACATTGTATATGCCTTGAATAAAAGTAGTCCTTTGTGATTGTCCTACATCTTGTCCACATAGTTCATTCCTGTGATGTTCCACTGGTACTGGAATAGGAAATATAGGAGGGATGACCTGCATAAGAATTCTGTGTTCCTGCATAAGAATTCTGTGTTAGACCTAGATTCTGTCTTAAAAATGGAATGATTTTAGGGAAATGGGTGCAGGAAAATGCAGTGCTTGTGCTTTATCCCTTGTGACTGATTGTAGAGTTGGGGCTGCTGACTGGCACATGTTTACCTGGTCTTTTCTTAGCAGAGATGCACACTGGGATGGACAGTGAGGCTGTCACAGGAGGCTAAATAATTTATTCCTGGATGAGTTACTCCTTTCAAAAATTTTTAAAATTTTTATTATTCCATGTTTGCAATACATAATGATCACATTCATTGTGGGCAGTTGTTACACATACATGCACATCTTTTTTTGTTCCCTCTGGTACCAGGGATCGAACTCCAGACCTTGTGCTTGCCAGGCAGGTGGGGTGCTGCTGAGCTAAATCCCTGGCCCCATGCACATCTTAATTCTTTTTTCATCCCCTTTCCTCCCCTCCATCAATCTCTTAGTAACTTTCCCTTTTCTAAAAGATCTGTCTCCCTGTTTCCTGTTTTCTTTCTCTTATACTGCTCTTTAATTTACTTGTATTTTGGGTTTCTCAAACCATGTAATACTTAAGCTTGTGTATCTGATTTATTTTAATATTATGGTCTCGAGGTACATGTATTTTCCTACAAATGAATCAAGTTTAGCCTTTGTGGCAGAGTAGTACTCCATTGTGTATAAATACCATATTGTTTTTATCCATTCATCTGTTGATGGACATATAGGCTACTTCCAAGATTTAGCTCTTGAGAGTTGTGCCGCTATAAACATGGGTATGCATGTATCGCTGTAATATGATGTCTTTACTCTTTCAGGCAGATACCTCGGAGAAAATAGCTGTGTCAAATGGATTTCTTTTAGTGTGTGTTTGTTTTTTGAAACATAGTCTCCCTGTGTAGTTCAGGCTAGCCTTGAACTCACTGTGTAACTCAGTCTGGGCTTGAACTTGAAATTCTCCTGCCCCAGGCTTCCAAGTGCTAGGATAATAGGCCACCACACTTGGCTCTTTTTTTTTTGGTACCCAGGATTGAACTGAGGACCTTGCGCTTGCAAGGCAGGCGGCAGAACAACTGAGATCCCCCGGCACTTGGCTCTTGTTTTAGTTTTTTGCACAATCTCCATACTGATTTCCATAGTGACTGTAGTAGTTTACATTCCCACCAGCAATGTAGAAGGGTTATTTTTCCCCGCAGTCTCCCAGAATTTTTTATTTATTAATGAGGGACATTCTTTCTGGAGTAAGATGGAATTTCAGTGTTGTTTTAATTTGCATTTTTCTAATGGCCAGATATGTTGAACATTTTTCCATGTATTTATTGGCCATTTGTATTTCTTCTTGGGAGGTGTCTATTTCAGTTGCCCATTTTTTGGTTGGGTCTCTTACTTTGGCAAGTATAATGTTTTTGAGTTCTTTATATATTCTAGATACTAGTCTTCTGTCCAAGGAGTAGCTGGCAGAAGTTTTTTTCCCATTATATAGGTTGTCTCTTCATTCTGTTGGTTGTGTCCTTTGCTGTGCAAAAACTTTTTAATTTGAAATGGTCTTATTTGTCGATTTGTGGTACTATTTGTGCGTGAGGATTCTGTTCAGAAAGTCCTTGCCTACGCCTGTGTCTTCAAGAGTTTTTTCTATTTTGTCTTCCAGAAGACTTTGTTTTGTTTTGTTTTTTAAAAATAACTATGCATTTTATTCCCTATTCTTGTTTTGTTTTTGAGACCAGTGGCTGGCCTTGAACTTGGCCTCCCAAATACTAGAATTACTGGTATACACCACCACACCTGGCTTTGTTTCTGTTTTAACATTTAGATCTCTGATCCTTTTTTATTTTAGTTGAGTATAAGGTGAGAGATATGGATCTTGCTACATGTCGATAGCCAATTTCCCAGCACTATTTGTTAAAAAGGCTCTCTTTTTTTCCAGCTTATGTTTTTGGCCCCTATGTCAAAATTCAGGATTAGAACACTGAATGTGCCTGGGGTTGTTTCTGCATCCTTTAGTCTTTCATTGATACATATGTCTTATTTTTATGCCAGTAGCATACTGTTTTTATCACTGTAGCTTTGTAATATAACTTCAAATCTGAGATGGTGGGCTGGGGATGTAGCTCAGTGGCACTGCCTGCATGGCAAGCACAAAGTCCTAGATCAATCCCCGGTACCAGAAAAAAAAATCCAAGATTGTGATACCTCCCATTTTGTTTTTGTTGCCCAGGATTGCTTTTGCTATTCTGGGTCTTTTCTGGTTCCATATGAATTTTAGTATTGTTTTCCCTGGTTCTCTGAGGAATGATGTTGGTATTTTGAATGAGATTGTGTTAAATCTGTTTATCAGTTTTGAAAGCATGGCCATTTGAACTATTGGTTCAGTTCATCCAGGAATAGGGGATATCTTTCCATTTTCTGGTATCCTCTTTGATCTCCTTTTTCCAAGTACTGTAGTTTTCATTGTAGAGATTTTTTACTTCCTTTTTTAGGTTAATTCCTAGGCATATAATTGTTCTTGACACTATTGTGAATGACCTTTTCATAATTTCTTTCTCAATGAGTTCAGTATTGGTGTACAGAAATGCTATTTTTTTTTTATTTTTGGTACTGGGGATCGAACTAGGGTCCTTGCGCTTGTGCAGCAGGCGGCGAAACCACTGAGCTAAATCCCCGGCAGGAATGCTATTGATTTTTTGTATCCTGATACATTACTGAATTTGGTTGATTCTAGGAGTCTTTTGTTGGAATTGTTTGGGTCTTTGTAGAGGATCATGTCACCTGCAAATAATGATAATTTGACTTCTTCCTTTCCCATGTATAGCCCTTTTATTTTTTTCATGCCTGATTGTTCTGGCTAATGTTTTGAGTAGTATATTGAACAGGAGTGGTGATAGTGGACAACCTTGTCTTATTCCTAATATTGAAGGGAAAGCTTTAAGTTTTCTCCCATTTAAAATGATGTTGGCAGTAGGTTAGTCATAAGTGGTTTTGATCTGATTGACATAAGGTCCTTCTGTACCTGTTCTTCAGAATTTTTATTATGAATGGTATTGGATTTTATCAAAGGCTTTTTCTGTATCTGTTGAGATGATCATGTGATTTTTGTCCTTGTTTCTTTTTATGTGATGAATTAAATTTTATTTGCATATGTTGAACCATCCTTGCATCCTTGGGATGAAGCCTACTTGGTCATGAGATACGATTTTTTTGATATGCTTCATTCTGTTTACCGATATCTTGTGGAGGATTTTTGCTTCTATATTCATTAAAAAGATTGGTCTATAGTTCTCTTTTTTCATTTGGTCTTTCTCTGGTTTTGGAATCAGAGTAATGTTAGCTTCCAGGAATGGCTTTGAGAGTACTCCTTCCCTTTCAGTTTCATTAGTTTGAAGAGTATTGGCATTAGAGCTTTCCTGAAGTACTTACAGAATTCAGCAGTGAATCTTTGAGTGGTGTCTGTTGTGATTTCACCTTTTTAATTTCTAATTGCATTGATTTAAGTCTTTTTTTGTTAAGATTGGCTATTTTATTTATTTTTAATTTTTTGGCGGTACCAAGGATTGAACTCAGGACCTGGTGCTTGCCAGGCAGGCATGGTATACTGAGCTACATCTCCAGCCCTATTTTATTCTTTCAGTGAACCAGCTCTTCAATTCATTGATTCTTTGTATTTTTAGTCTCAATTTCATTCGTTTCTGCTCTGATTTTTATTATTTTCTTTGTACTAGCTTTGGCTTTTTCTTGTTTTTCTGTTGATTTCCAGTGTCATTGCACTCTAATCTGGTGAATGCATGGGATAATTTTGATTCTTTTACATTTACAGTAAAATGTTGGTTTGCAAGAATAATGCATTCTGCACATAATCCAAAACACTTTTATATCAAACAGCATGACAGAAGAACCAGTTGTGATCATGTGATATTCGGTGTGACATACTACTCATATTGCAAGACATCCCTTGTTTATCAAGTTAAAATTTCTTAGAAATCTTTGCTTATCTTGCAGAACACTTGCAGACCAAGTTACAATCCAAGGTTTGACTATATTTGAGTATATTTCAGCATGCTTTATGGTCCCCTGTGTGGTAAATTTTGAAGAAAGTTCCATGTGCTGCTGAGAAGAATGTGTATTTTGTTGGCTGGGATACTCTTTAGATATTCATGATGTCTTCATTTGTTTAAGAGTTTGGTTGAACTCTTGCTATTTCTTTGTAGATTTGTCTAGTTGATCTATTTGTGACAGTGGGGTATTGAGTTCCCCTACTATAATTGTATTGATATTTATCTGATCTTTTATGTCCAGTAGTGTCTGTTTTACGAAGTTGGGCATGCTGAATCCTTCCCTGTTTTTCCCACTGGCCATGGTCGTCAATGGTGTCCACCCTATGGATGTAGTCAGTTCAGCAACTCCCACTTTCCGTGTCCCTTTGTGCACCCCATGTCCCAGCTTTCTCTGCCCAGCTTTATGGCCTATAGATTTGTGAGCCACCCCTTCAGAACACCCCCTTGTTCATGTGACTAGATGGAGAAAGTGAACAGGCCGCTGAGTTCTGTGCTGGATGTAGGCAGTGGGGCTGGGGTGAAAGCAGATCACTGGATGTAATGCCAATGCTTTCATACCCAGGCCCCTCTGAAAGCCACATATGCTATGTCTGGGTCTCACCCTGGAGGATCTCCTCACCCCATGTCCTTGCTGGCCTGAGCTTAAACTTCTCAAGGGTCTGTGTCTAGCCCACACCTCCTGTGTTGTCTCTTATGGCTATCTCCCACCCAGTCACTGGGACAGTGACACCAGAAACCCTACAGTACAGTAGGCAGTTCTGTAGCCCTTCTATGCTTCAGCCTTAAGCACTTAACCCCTTTGTATAGTGGCTCCTGATTAAACCTCAAAGCAGGCATTGGACTGAATTTCTTCTCTCTAGTTGTGCTCCGTATCTCTAGCTTCTGTGTATTTTCTAGTCTTCCTGTCAGCTTCCTTCCGATTCCTGGAGATTTTTTTTCTTTTCACCAAGTTGTTGTTTACCATGTCTTGATTCCAGGTCCTGGAGTGGCTGTAGTTTGCTGCTGGTCTTTACTCCACCACTTTGTTCTCCATGTGGATGAGTTATCCTTAAGCTGGGAGGATTTTCCTTTTTATATAAAAGGATGGTGCATACATACTCTGCTAGCAATCATTTTCTCATAGTGATACAAGTAGGATTCAGACTGATAATGCCAGTTCTCTTGCTGTGTGTAGCATTACAGTTCCATCACCACTGAAACACAACCCCCGCAGTTTGCACAGACCATTCCAGATAGTTCACAAAAACATCACATAATTAAAGTTTTCTGCTAAACATAATCTCTATCAAGTAATTTCTCTAGAAACTAACAGATGTGCAGGGTGTGTACTCAACAGTCTTCCAGGGTGTGAAACATGGCAAGGGCTTTGTGTGATGTGTAAACTCTGGTGTGTAGAAAAGACGTGTATCTGCACATGACAGCAAGAGCCCCATCCCCCTCTGTTCTTCTCTTTTGAGACAGGGTCTTACTGTGTTGCTGAGGCTGCCCTCCAACTCCTGGGCTCAAGTGACCTTCCTCTTCCTACCGCTCAGTACTGTGCAGATCTGGTAAAAGCTCACTCAGCCACATCTGCTTAAAGCAGTTCACAGATTAGGGTGATGTCCACCCTGAAATCATTCTTATAGTCATGACTCTCATACCTGCTGAGTTGCATAGTGCCAACAGTAAGCTGCTTTATTCCCAGACCTGTGCCAGTTTTATTGAAAATATGGGCATAAAGTTACTGCTGTGCAAACTAAATGCTTTGGACTGGATAAAAATAGCTATAGAATGTAGTTGAAAAACTAGCCGTAGATAGGACAGGTAAATGCAGGAGTGGAAAGGTGGTGTGAAATGGGAAACTTAGTTGTATTTTGTGCTTGGGTGGCTTTACAAGTTTCTGAAAATTGTTCACTTTAAAGAAAGAAAAACTGAGTGTTGTCATGGTTAATAAGTGATTTATATAGGAATTCTAGTCAGTGAACTTTACACAGAAACGTTCCTGGCTGAAAGAAAATGAGCCGAAACAGGAGCACCTGAGGCAAGGCTTTATTGGGCGAAAGCTGCCCAGCTGCCTCCAACAATGACGAGAGTGAACGAGAGAGGGAATCGAGTGGGGGTGAGGTTTATAAGGGTTTGGGAGAGCATCGTGTGTAAGTGGGTGATAGGTTGGTGCTAGTGACAAGGCTGGAAATGATTGGCAGGTTTGAACTTACAGGCGGGAAAACTTTCTGGTGGGAAGGAGGCAGGGTAGGGTAAGTTTCGTTTTCCTGTTGGGAGTTAGTTTCGATTCCCCAACATGACTCATTTCCTATGTGAGAGGCCATTTTCTTGGTGGGGGAACTCTATCACTGACCTAAACCAAATAGTTGGTAAATAAACATACATTTTTTTTTTGGATATAGGTCTTACTGTGTAGTTCAGGCTGGCCTTGAACTCTGCATGTAGCCCAAACATGCCAATCCTCTTCCCTCAGCCCAAGTGCTGGGGTTACCGGTGCGTGCCACCACATCCAGCCAGCTTAAATAAAAGGCTCATGAGTTCAAGGCTAGCCTGCACTTCGTAGCAAGACACTCTCAAAAGTCAAAATAAATAAAACAAGAGCTTGTGATGGGGTTTCCCTTCTGTGTCTGTCTGTATACATATACATGTGTGTATGCACGTCTACACATAATTTGTGAATCCAACTTCAGTTACTTGACCAACTGCCTATCCCAAACATATTGGATTACCAGGTTTTTACTGTGTCCAAAATTTTGGACACTCAATTTTATGTAGAGGACTATAGGGAGAGATGTTTGTGCTGTTTGATAGCTGTGCTGTAATTAGAATTGCTGTACCTAGCAAATGGAATCCAGGACACCCAATTTAATTTGAATTTCAGATAATTTTTAAATGTAAGAATGTCCCAAATGTTGCATGGTATCTAGCAAGCCCAGCCATAATATACTTTTTTTTTAAGACCAGGTCTTACTGCATTGCCTAGGTTGGCATTCAACTCCTGATCTCAAGTGGTCCTTTCTGCCTCAGCCTTCTCAGTAGCTGGGACAGTAAGTACATGTCACCAGGCCCGGCTTAATAACCTTTTTATCATCACTTAATAAGGAGTAGAAATTATAATGACTTAGGTAAAATAAATTTTCATATAAACTTTATATTTCTTCCATGTTGTGAATTGCTGAGTATGTTGAACAAGTTTAAAGGAATGTCTTTCCTTTGATAATTTAGAAAGAAAACTGGAAGGTTTTGATTTTCAAATAGAAGCGTCCTGGGCTGGGTATGCAGCTCAATGGTAGTGCATTCTCCTAGAATGAAGGAAGCCTTGGGTTTAATACATAGCACTGGAAAAAAAAATTTTTTTAAAAAAAAGCATCAGTATTTTAAAAGTACTTTCTAAAGTAAGTGCAGTACAACTTATTTATGTATTATTGTAAACATGGATACAGTAAAAACAAAATACCCCATCCAGGCATTACCATGAACAGCTGAATAAAGTCAAAATGAGTGAACTTTTCTGTGGATCACAGTGAGCAGCTACACACAGTAAAAACAATAGAAACATCTGGCTTTAACCCTTACGCAAAATCAAAACTTGCATTTTGAGTTACAAGGATTAAAATGTGGGAGATCCTGGATATTCACCGGATCCCTGCATTCTTTCCAGCTCGTCATCTGTTTCTGGGCTGCTTGTTGCAGAGGCTTTTTCTTGGTTACTGCTCTCGGTACCTGTCTCAGGTACTTTGTTTCCTGGCTCTGACAGCCGCATCTGCTTCACCTGCCATCCATCATCTGGGCCTATAGCTTTGCGCTTAGTCACCTGTGGCGTCCTAGCCGGACTGGCTTCTGGGGAGTGAGTGTATTCTACCATCAAGGTCAGCTTGTCAGCCACCTCGAGATTGTGCATGACATTACATCTGCTTTCACAAATCTGTCTGGTTTTCAAAGAGATAACACAAGAATGAAGAAATTCACAATCTGGAAAAAAGGTCTGTAAAGCTTGACAAAGAAAAATGTTCTCTTGAGGGTCTTTTTGGACATTCTTCTCTCCTAAAGAAAAGTCACAGTTCAGTATCTTTGTTCCGAAGGCTTTTATAGTTAGCTGTTTATTAATAAGTTAAAAAGATTTCAACAATTATCCAAAGTAAAGTGTTCAAGTGGGAAGAGGAACAAGGGATGAGGGAGGGAGAAAGGAAGGAAGGGACAAGAAAAAAATGAAGATAGAAGGAAAAAAGATAACAAAGCTTTTGTACATGGGGAGGGGGCTTAAGGGGGAAAAGGGATAAAATAAAATTTATTAAAAAGAAAAAAGTCCAGGGCTGGGGATTTAGCTCTAGTTCCGGCACCTGCCTCACCAAGTCCAAGGTCCAGAGTTTGATCCCTCGTACCAAAAAAAAAAAGTCTCGCTTGCCTTGCAAGCGCAAGGACCCGAGTTCGATCCCTGGTACCAAACAACAACAACAAAAAAAGTCCAAAGAATGACATGTATAAATCCCAAATTCCGATTTATATGCCACAATTTCTTTCCTTTCCTTTCCCTCTCCCTCCTTTTTGGGAGTGAATCCAGGGCCTTCACACTGAGCTACATATCCAGCCCATTTTTATCTTTGTTTTTGAGAAAGGATCTTGCTAAGTCACTGAATTTGCCTGGCTGGGCTCGAACTCAGGATCCTCCTGCCTCAGCCTAACCAGAATCCTAAAATTACATCCAGGTACACCATGCCCACCTTATATGCTATAATGTTCTGAGAAAGTTACATGTGTTAGTAAAAAAAATATATAACGTATCTACTATAGTACCATGTTCTTTGTTCAGTTCAACCTAAGAATATTAATAATTAATAATTTTTTTCTTAGAAACAGGGTCTTGTTCTGTAGTTCAGAATAGCTTGAACTCACTACTTAGCCCAGGCTGGCCTCAACTCACACCAATCCTCCTGTCTCAGCATCTCTAGTGCTCGGATTATAGGCATGTACCACCACACCTGTCTACAATGACTTCTATTTTATGGTACCCGGGATTGAACTCAGGACCTTGCACTTGCAAGGCAGGTGGTGGCACCACTCAGCTAAATCCCACGCCCCTACAATGACTTCTTTTAATGCCAAAGTGGACAAACATATTGGTTAGTGTAGCTGGCTCTGCTATAATTTTTGTGTGTGTTTGAGATAGGGTTTCACCATGTAGTTCTGGCTGGTCTGGAATTCGCTAGCCCAGGCTGGCCTTGAACTTGAAGCAGTCCTCCTGACTGTACCTCCCGAGCGCTGGGATTACAGGTATGCACAACCACACCTGGCTCTTCATAATTTAAATCAGCAAAGAAAACATGGAAAATAAGAGTGAACTTTTTACTTACGTGCTGCTTGAATCTGTACTTGCTGCCTTTTTTTAATTTCTTGTTTTAACCTGTTTACATCCTTTATTAGCTTCTCTACTTCTCGTTCACTTCCTTCCACTTTATTGCATACATCCTACAAAATAAAATAATTTAATGGCACAGATAAAACCTCAAATTTTGTACTAAAACTCTAGATTCCCAAATGGTAAAAATTCTCAGTGATATGTACTATGAAATTCTATTTGCCTTACATTTTAGTGTACTGTATTCCATGCTTTTCATATATTTTAACTTGTTATACACAGCTTACCATGCCAGTTAACTCCTTGATAAAAATAAAACACTCAAGTTGTTTTTTGGTTTTTTTTGGTACCAGGGATCAAACTCAGGACCTTGCATTTGCCAGGCAGGTGAGGCACCACTAAGCTAAATCCCTGGCCCTACTTAACTCATTTTTAAACGAAAAAGACCAAGATGCAATGTTATTGCACATATTTAACATTAAGAAACTTGGCAATAAGGGGCTGGAGGTTTACTCAGTGGCACTGCACCTGCCTCACAAGCACAAGGTCCTGAGTTTGATACCCATTACCGAAAGAAAAAAAAAACTAGAGCAACATGAAAAATGTTTAATGATACATCAACTTTAAAAATAAACTCATGACATTTATAGTGCCAGAACTGTGAAATGCATCAAAATACGTATCCATTAGAGGAAAACTGGAGCCTATGGCAAAGTGAAGACAGTCATGTTGAAAAGGTGAAACTTGGTGCTTCTCTGTTCTACAATTCCTGTACTCTATTTAATCATTCCCATTAGAACCCACACATCCTGTTAGTGTGTGGCTCACATTACCTCCTGTCTAGGTGCTCTGCTGACGAGGATGGTGGCCTGGACACCCACTCCTGGGCTTCACTGAGGGAGCAGAGAGGATGACACCCTTTATGGGCCACACTTCTAGGGCTGCTCCAGCCAGTGACTGGCACTGGTGGCATCAGGGAAAGGCCAGGCCTACAGATCACCAGAGGACCACTGGTGGCCAGCTGAGCATTCTCAACCTGAGGCTCCTCCACACTGTCCTCCCACCCACTTCTTGCTTTTGGGCAGGCTTGCCTTATGGGTTGGCAGCCTTCTTGCCTTGCTCCCTCTCTGCCTTCACAGGCCCAGCATCCCATCTTGATGTGACTTCTGACAACCTGAGGTGACATGGGGATACAGGCTGTGATACTGTGGCAGCTGTGTCTGTCTCCCTCTGCACCTTGGCAAACGATTCTGTGTCTGCCTATTGCTGGGTGCTATGTCCCCCGGCCAGCGAAGCCCAAGTTCACACAGCATGGTGGGTCTGAGTTCAAAGAGCTATTGTAGACTCCCACCAGCTTTCTTGCCTTTTCCTTTTGCCACAAGAACATGTCCCAAAGCCAGGTGTGGTGGCACAGGTCTGTAATCCCACACTCGGAAGGCTGAGGCACGAGGATCACTGCAAGTCCAAGGCCAGCCTGAACTACATAGCAAGACCCTGACTCAAAAAGTTAAAAAAAGAACATGTCCCAGATAAGAGCTGCTCTTCAGCCTGAATCCTGGAAGGTGACATCTGAAAAGGGAATGGCTACAGCAAGATCTGTGCGCAGATTAAACCTTTGTTGGGTGCCACCAGAGGAGTTAAAGGAGTACAATATAAATCTGATAAACATCAGGTTATCCCTAAAAAACCTTATCATGATCAACTGGATAAGAACTCTACAAGTGGTCTTCAAATGCTTGGTGTAAACTTACCTTTAATTCTTCTTGTAGAGAAGCGTACATTTCATTTATCTTATGTACCTCCTTTAAAGATCCATCTTCTTTAAAAAATTCAGAGCTGTAAAATACAATTTCCTCAGCTAAATGTCCAGAACTTGGATGGGTGCTGGAAGAATGTAATGGAGCCAGGCATGGTGGGCATGCCTGTAATCCCAGCACTCAGGAGGCTGAGGCAGGAAGACTGCCATGCGTTCAAGGCCAGCCTGAACTGCATAGTGAGATCTGTCTCAAAAAAACAAAATAAAAAAAACCAAAAAAAGAATGTAATGGAGGTAGGAAAAACAGTAGTTTGCCTGAGTAATGTATTCATTTAATCATTTTCATTTTCTTCTGTTTGTGTAATAAGAGTATTAATTGCAAAAAACAGAAGTAAATGTAGTGGAAAAAGCAGCTGAGGAATCTTACCTGTGTATTTTTACTGCTCTGCTAAAGCCCGTGGATGTACAGGAACCTGATGTAGTTTTATAACCCAGTGGCTCAGACATGCCCAGGTTGGTCACTACTAAAGGGATCCTATGAAAAAGTCTGATGAAGTCAAATGTGTAAGCATAACTTTTTAAATAAAGAGAAAGAACAGCATCTAACAGAATAGATCCCCCCAAGATTAAAAAAAAAACCCTTACTAACAAGGTAAAATTTAATTACATGAAGCAACTTGCTTTTTAAAATTGTGAAATGTGCATGGTAGAAAATTATGTGAAAATTGCTTCTCGGCCTTTTGGCTAAGATCAAGTGAAAATTATGTGAAAAAATACATTAATTAACTGATCAAGTATATGTACAATTAAAACAGTACAGCTACCTGGGAGGCTGAGGCAGGACAACTTCATGTTTAAGGCCAGCATGGGCACACAGTGAGACTCCCATTTGAGAGCGGGGTGCCCTAGCATGCAGGCAGCCTTGAGTTTGATCCCCAGCATCACTCCCCACAAAAATAAAAAACAGCAAAACAGTTGAGCATCCCTAGTCCAAAAATTTGAAACCCAAAATCCGAAGCTTCATGAGCACCATCACAAGTACTAATCTTCATTTGACCAGTCGAATTGTTGCACACGTGTAATCCCAGCTACTTGGGAGGCTGAGGCAGGATGACCATGAGTATGCGGCCAGCCTGGGCAACTTAGTGACTCTTAAAAAAATAAAGTGCTGAGGATATAGCTCAGCGTGAAGGCCTTGGGTTCAATGAACTCCAGTACCGAAAACAGGCAGTAAATAAAAGCGTATCACAAGACCCGGATACAAGTCCACTCCACGCTGGGCTTCAAGTTTCCTTGTCTGGCTTCATGCTTTATTTATAATTAACAGATGGTAAGACCTACCTCAGAGAATTACTGGGACAATCTAATGCAACACTATAAAAACCCTTGATAAGCTGCAAAAAGTACTATGAAAGTACTGGATACACTAGTGCCTGGGAACTTACCCTTTCTGAGGTTGGTATAAGGCATGTTCCAGCTGATGAGTGGAACAGCTTTCGGTCACTATGCTTGATGTTAACAAGAGAAACACAAGTTCCTGGTTTGAAAGGTGCTTCTGTAAGTTTCTGTGAAGCAGCCTCTCTCTAAACGTCATGATCTGATCTGTGTGACGACGGAACTTGTACCAACCTACCACATTCTGAAATACAGAAATAAAAAAAGATAAGTATCTCAGTGCTCACGGATCTATAGCTCATAATTACTTTATTAATTAGCTGGCTTTCTTAATAGCAAGATTTGGGACATCTATCAGCAATGACTACACTTAGTAATAAGCTTTACAAAGTATGCAAACTGACTTACACTTAGGTTGCCTTCTATTTAGTAGGAAAGCTACAATTTTGACTCATACAGATTGCAGGGAGAAAGCTTACTCTAGTTTCTTACAGCATTTGCTACCTTGCTATCTTCATTTTTAGTGAAAATTTACATGAAAAAACACCAGTGCTGGGCCTGGGATTTAGCTCAGTGGTTCCGGCGCCTGCCTCACAAGCACAAGGTCCCGAGTTCGATCCCTGGTACCAAAAGAAAAAAAAGAAAAAGAAAAAGAAAAACTACCACTGCAATTATTCCCTGGAAACAAGTTAATTTCCTGCATGTATTTTTGCTTTGTTAAATGAGTTAAGCTGATCCCTATAGCTTTTACCTGAAATTTAATGGGAATGATCATCACCCACCCAGAAAGCTGGCTTCAGTGTTGAATAAAATCAATGTGTTGTTAGTATTACTAAGCCATTTTTAACCGGGAAAATCTCATTTAATAAAAACTTAGTTATTACAAAGAAAAATAATGACTTTGATTCAGAAGCATCTGAATTCACAGGATTCAGCAATTAAATTTTTTATTGCACATGAGCTGTGGAACTTTAAGCTGAAGAAATAAAAAATCGTTCTGACAAAAATTAAGGCATCTTTACAGGTACTTTTTAAAGTAGCCAAATATGACTGGAAAAACTCCAACCATTTTCAACAAGTTTGGAAAAAATAAAACTTCTTTTACTAAATCTAATTTTCAGATTAGATACATAAGTTTTAGGGAAAAAATGGTATCTGAAAAAACTATTTTTAGATTAAAAAACCCATCTTGATTACTGACTTTTAACTGAGCATCAGCTATGCTGTGGAGAACTGTAATTAAGTGCTATACAGGAAACTTTCCCTGTGAAGAACTGTATAAAAACCCTAGCTGCAAGGCCAGGCTGGGGCGTGCACCCCTGCAGTCCTAGCTTCAGGGGTCACCTGAACCCAGAAGCTCAAGCCCAGTCTGGGTGACACTGGAGATCCTGGAGACACCATCTCAAAAAAATGGACTAGGGCCAGGGATTTAGCTCAGTGGCACTGTGCCTGCCTTGTAAGCACAAGGTCCTGAGTTCCATCTCCTGTACCAAAAAAATAAATAAAGGACTAAGTCCTAGATAAATCCAGCTGGTGAAGGGTGTGAGAATTCGGAAAAGAACAAGATTAGTGTCATCACAGGAATCAAGGGAGATCACTACTTCTGATGACTGGTTTTGTTTTCAGAGCACACTCACTGGATTGCTGAGAACAAGCCTCTTTCCTGCTTTACAGTAGGCATAGTGTAAAGACAAATACTGCTTAAAAGTTCTGTTGAAGTACTGTTTTTAGGAGTTGAAAATAATGGATATAAAACAAACAGGAGATACCTTTTCCACCCTTGAAAGTATTTTCTTCAGTGCATGCTTATTCACCTCACCTGAAGAGTTATAAAAGCTGTAAAAGTCAAAGACATTTCAAATAAGCTAGAAATCTGAAGCTTAATAGCATTTTTTAGTTACTCCTGACCCACTGTCTAACCCAAATCCATACCTACCTGCCTGTCAGATAAAGTCCTAAAGAGTAGAAAAAGTTCACAAATTAACAGACAAAATGGGAGAAAAAGGAGGTCTGTAACAAAAAGTGGAGAAACCTCAAGAGCTAAGTTTGTGCATTGTATATTTTTAGCCTAAAACGAAATATTAAACTGTCCACTAAACACAAGTACTAAAAAATAATCTCATAAGCCAATTCACAATTAATTCAGTTTACTTATTACCATTCTTGTTTTTGTTTTTGGTACCGGGGATTGAACTCAGGTCCTTGCACTTATCGAGGCAGGCGGTGGAACCACTGAGCTAAATCCCCAGCCCCTTTATTACCATTCTTTACAGTATTGAAACATGAACAAGTGAGTAATAACCAAAGCACATTAACTAAAGGACAGTTATTCAGCTTTAATTCCCAAAGCTCTGTGCCTGAGGAGTCGGTGGATGTTGTGGGCGGGCAGGAGAAAGGAATACTTTTCAGTGGTCTTTCTTCCATAGCTGAAGTGTCTAATATATACAGAGATTCAGAAGAAAAGATTCTAAACCAAGGCACATACTTCTATCTTTCCCTCCTATAGCAGAGATTCCAAAAGTATTTCTTTTACTTTTAGCACTGAGATAAAAAATATTTGTTATGGTGAAATGTTAGTCAAAACCCTTTATAAATAACATTCATCATAGCCTGGGATTTAGCTCAGTGGTTTCGCCGCCTGCTGCACAAGCACAAGAACCCAAGTTCAATCTCTGGTACCAAAAAAAAAAAAAATTCATCATAACAGGTTTTATTGGTATTTCAAGTGTATACTGAAAAGTTACATAAAACTGAATAGCATCCTATTAGGCAGTGTTTTTACTTTCTAAAGTAAAGTGTTTTTACTGGGACTTACACTAAAACATTTTTAATGGAAAACAGACAAAACAAAGTGACTCCATGTAAAGATTCCAAGTTGATCAAACAGATCCCTCCATTGTAACTGCTCATGGTTTCAACGTGAAGATTACATACACAGAGCTTACTGCTGTGTCTCCCTAGCATGCGCTGGGGCATGAGCTGTACACCAGGGTGCGGGAGCCTCAGGGGACTGCACATCTGTAGAGCACTGATTTTATGTCAAGCTTCAGGGACAAGGAGGGCGTGGGACTTTTATACAGAAATAGATACACTGTGCAGAGTTCATGTAAGTTCATTTATTTTTTGTTCTGATTTGATTTTTGAGACAGGGTCTCACTCTATATTTCAAGCTGGTCTTGAACTCACTACGGAGCACAAGCTGGCCTTCAACTCACAGGGATCCTCCTGCCTCAGCCTCCCAAGTGCTGGAATTAGAGGCTTGCGCCACCACGCCTGGCAAGTCACTTTTTAAGTGATTTAGTTCTAAACTTCAGTGGGCTGTCTCCCAGGTACCGCCCTGGATTCCTGTAGTAAACAAAGGAGGGTATTCCAGTGGAGAGGTGTGAGAAGCGGTGTAATTGCTGCAGGGTTAGCAAACTTTTCCTGTAATGGCCAGACTGCATATTTTGAGCTTTGCAAGCCATGTGTGGTTTCTATTACACATGCTTCCTCTACCCTGAAGCATTTTTGTTAACTACCCTGAAAAAGTACATTTTTAGATCCAAGGCCACATGAAAACAGTTCACTGTTTAATACAGGGTTTGCTAACTATATTAAAGCATAAGACTGTATGAAAGTTTATGCTAGGGGGCTGGGGATTTAGCTCAGTAGTTCCAGTGCCTGCCTTGCAATCGTGGGGTCCCAAGTTTGATTCCTGTTACCAAAAAAAAGAAAAAAAAGAAAGTTTATGCTAAAAACAAAGGCTTGGTTGGTCAGGGATGTACCTCAGTGGCACCATGCGTGCCTCACAAGCGCAAGGTCCCGAGTTCCACCCCCTAAGTTCTACCCCCGGTAGTAGTGGGTAGTGAGAAAAACAAAACAAAACAAAAAACGGATTGGTGGAACTTTAGGACCACTAAGCCCTTCTGCCACGCCCCCAGCACCCACCTCCTACCTTAACCATGTATCTGCCTGGATCTTTGAGGTGTGTGCATAGACAGCATGACTGGAATGATTTTCTGAGTGGTTTATGCCTCAGTTAAAAAAATGCAGCCCAGGGGCTGAGGTTCTGCCACCTGCCTCGAAAGCACAAGGTCCCGAGTTCAATCCCCAGTATCAAAAAAAACCCCCCAAAAAACGCAGCCCATAGGAGCTGACAGTTCTGCCACTGTGGAGGACTAAGAACAGAAGCCTGCACACTAGAAAAGCAACAGGAAACGGGGCAAAGAATACAGCTGGTTAACAGGATAACACTAAAAAATGTAAGTGAAGCAACAGTTGCTGAAATAAGGAATCAAAGGGAAGGAAGAGGGGCTGCTGTTGACATCTGAGAACGTCACCCAGCTCACAGGATGCAGGGAGTGACGGCGAAGAGGTGCGGTCTTTGATGTCAGTGGCACCAGCTAAAGTCCTGTCACTGCAGATGCCGTGATGCAGTGTTTGTCAGGGATTTAAAAACTACTTTCCATGTGCAATTAGTCACTAAGATGCTCTGGCAGTTTCAAAAATTCTTTCACTTACAGAGATCACACTGGCTACTGACTTGCTTTCACTAATACTACTCACCTAAAAAGCCGGTAGCAGGGAATATACTTCTGAATGTCTGGAAAAGAAGAATTTTTAGTTATGATATTGTGTAATCATCTGAATAACCTACTGAGTATTCTTTCATACCACAAAGTACTTCACCTCGGGTTATCTCATTTACTCTGCACAACAATCCCACAAGACAAACGCCTTCTTCGCATGGTCTCCCACGCCTGCAGTAGGAGACCTCCTTCACACTTAGTCTCACTTAGAGCCACAAGGCTCACTGCCTCTAAACAGTTTAATATCCGCCTCACAAAAGGGAAGTTCAAACTACTATATTTGTATTGAGTACTAAAAATGTTGCACTCTAAATTTATCCAACTGACAAAAATTACCAGTATCTGTTAAAGGGAATCTCTTGTTATTACAAGCAGTTGTTACACGTAAAGCTTTTCTCAGTGTTAGCTGCCAATCAAAGAAAACAAAACAAAAACCCAACATCTTAAAAGGGCAGATTTTATCTGATTAGTGGCAACACTGCAGCTGAGGAGCAAGAGGAGGAGGATTCTCTTTAGACATTTTTCTTCTAACAAATGTATGTTACCCTTAAATCAGTCCCTGTCTGCAAAAACACCAAACGTCCTGTACTTGCTAACAGGTAAAATACACTCTAATGTATAGACACAGGAAAGTGTAAAAATGATGAAAATCTCATGAACCAAAGCAAGCCCATAATCTGCCCATCTTGGACCTCAACCCATTTGCCATCCATGTTAAAGTAACCTAGCATTTACAAATAATTGGACCAAGTAAAGCTTAGCATTGTGCCTAGCACAATATAGCTGCTCAAAAAATATTTGCTTAACCAGGCGTGGTGGCGCACACCTGTGATCCCAGAACTCAGGAGGCTGAGGCAGGAGGATCGACATAAGCTCGAGGCCAGCTTGAACTATATAGTAAGACCCTGTCTCAAAAAACACAACAAAACACACAGATGCTTAGATAAAACTGTATGTTATGTGATCGGAAAAATATATTTTCAATCTCCCTTATCTTTTTCCCACAAGAACAGCTGCCACCAGCTGTTTTCTCTGCATCTCCTTGCTGCAGTCTTAATTTACTTCCTATATCTTGTATTGTTTCATACAACTGGTGGCCATAATTTTAACTAAAAACAAATACAATAGGGCTGGGGATTTAGCTCAGTGGTTCTGCCGCCTGCCTTGCAAGTGCAAGGACCTGAGTTCGATCCCCAGTACCAAAAAAAAAACCAAAAAACAAAAAATGAATACAATATATTCTTTTAAATTTTGCTTTTCAAAATTAGCAACTGTTCTTTTTGTTTTTATTTTTTTCTGGTACCAGGAATAGAACTCAGGACGACTTTACTCTTGCCAGACATTGCATAGCTACATCCCCAGTCCAGTTTTTGTTTTTTTGAGAGTCTCATGTAGTTCAGGCTGGCCTTGAACTCATGGTGATCCTCCTGCTACAGCTGGAATTACAGGTCTGCACACCACACCTGGCCAAAACTAGCATATTTTTAACAATTTTAAAACAGTAATTTCGATGACTCAGCGTTTATCGGATAGACACAAAAATGGATGATTTACCAATTGTATAAACGACTTCCACATCGTCCATCTGGGAGTCGGTAATGCTGTTTTTCGCTTCGCCTTTCACTTCCCCGAAGAGAAACCCTTCCTGTGGACACAGATGAGAGGCCACGTTTGGAACACGCTGACGGGATGGCCCCTGCCCAGCTCTTGGCCCGAGTATCTCGCCTTCCGAGTTCCTCACGGCACACGCAGGCTGCACTACCGCGGGAAGGCACACAAGACAGCCAGGAAATCAGCGGCGCGGATTACAAACAGCACTGCAGCTTAAGAAGGGGAGAGAGATCAACGTGGGCGGAGGTGGAGGCCTTGGAGGGGACAAGAAAGGCGCTGGCTCTAAGGGCCGGTTGCTATCTGTGAGCAGCGCCGTGCCTCAGCACGCCGAGCACAGAGGCTGAGAGCTGGAAATCGGGCACCCAGGGCTCCTCTCCACCAGGAGCCAGGAGGCTGCTGCCACCTCCGGGGCCGGCGTCGGGCGGGCCTCAAAGCTCGGACACAAGACCGGTTACCAGATTTAGAATTGTGAAAAATGGGAAATTGCAAACCGTTAGAGAGTAAAGATTTGGAATTCGGTTCCGGGGCCTGCTGTCTAGAACGGGTTGTGTTGTGAGCCCAACTCCTGAACTTGAGCATCTGGCCAGAGCAGCGGTGATTTCGCTGTACTTCGGAGAACCCAGTTCTCTTCCAAGTGCGTCTGGAGACCCAGTGTGCTCGACAGTGACATTTTACCCTCTTGAAAGTTAGTTAATACAGTAATCTACCCTCCTCCCCCAGGGCAAAGCACAGGATCATTCCCGAGAGTCCTCAGGAGAACCTGCATGCCTGCACACCTTCCTGCTCCTTCGGGCTGCGGACACCAGGGCACGGGGTGCTAAGCCAGGGAGTCGCCATCTCTTCACGTCTATACCGAGCTGTCCCGAGACGCGCTCCACAGCTCCGCAGCTCCACAGTTCCACAGTTTAACTTGCCTTCTGTTTGCTAGACGTTAATTTGTAAGGTCATTTGAAATAGTACTGATTACAACCTCTTGGGGTTTGTTAAAAAGCAACTTGGGGGAACACAAGATATTTTATATATATACGTAGTATTGGTTTTTTGAGACAGGGTCTCGCTATGTAGCCCAGGCTGGCCTCGACTCGCAGCGACCCTCCTGCCTCAGCTTCCCGAGTGCTGGGATTACAGTGTGCACCACCACGCCCGGCGTTCTATTTTATAGGACTCACTGGGCATGGCTCGGCCTGGGCTCCTCCCCGTGTCAGTGAGGCAAGGAGAGCAGCTGAGTCGTCCCGGGTCCCCTCTGCAGGTTACCAAGCGCGCACGCAGGGCAGCGCTGCCAACCTCAGCCTCACATTTCACAGCGCCTTTCTCAGTTCCCTAAGCTGTAGAAAGCAAGCACTGTGTTTTAAAAACACCGCGTCCCTTAGCCTCACCCCGCGGCTCGGAACCTACACAAAAGTATAAACGCGCACACCAGAAAGTGTCGGAAGAAACTAGCTGAGGCCTGACAAGTTTAGCAAACTTGGAAGCGGTGCCAGCAGGCAGCTACTCAGCTTCTCAACCCCTCAGGCCTGCACACGCAGGCGGCCCGGCAGGCGCCCGTACCCGGTCTCCACGTCGCCTCGCGCACGGTGGCCTGCGCGGCCGACTGAGGGAGCCAGAGACGCGGGAGGAGGCGCCGGCGCCGCCGCCGCCGCCTCCCAGGCCGTCCACGAGGCCAGGAAGAGCGGCGACCACGCCAGGACGGCGGCGCGCGGCCCGGGGCGGGCCGGAGAGGCGGCGCCCGCTCACCGTGTCAGCATCGGTGTTGAGGTCCTGGAAGGAGAGCGCGCCCAGCACGAAGCCCGACAGCGCAGCCGCCGTGCGCTCGCCCGCCATGGCGCGAGGGCAGCGCAGGAGGGCGGGGCCTGCGACGGGGCGGGGCCGTGGGAGAGGGGGCGGGGCGGGGCGGGGCGGGACGGGAGGGTGGGCGGGGCCTGCGGCACCCGGCTCAGCGGAGGAGGGGAGCGGGCGCCCTCTGCTGGCAAGATGGCGGCGGGGCGGCTGTGCGCGAGCTCCTCCCTACGCGCCGTGTGGCGCTGCCCTTGTCTCTATCATGGGCACCTACCGCTGAGATACCTGGGGCCTGAGCGCTGTCCACAGGGTCTTTTTTGCCACACCCCCTCATTGCTGGGGTTTGAACCCAAGACCTTTGCCCTGAGCGACAGCCGCAGCCCTTTTTAAATTTTGAGACAGGGTCTCACTAAATCTCCAGTGTGCCCAGGCTGGGCTTGAAACTTGTGATCCTCCTGCCTCAGCCTTCCAGAGTGCTGGGATTACTGGCATGCACACTAATATCCGGCTGACAGGGTCATTTAAAAATAAAAATGTTAGCCAGGAGTGGTGGTGCACACCTGTAATCCCAGCACTCGGGAGGCTGAGGCAGAAGGATCACAGCGAGTTCAAGGCCATCTTGGGCTACATAGTGAGTTCAAGGCCAGTCTGTGCTACAATTACAATGTAGGGTCTTAGGTCTGTAGATGGGGGGAGGGGGATAGAACAAAGGCCTCATTAGATCTTCTAGCTATTCCTGACTAGAAGGAGTTAAAAACTAACTTTACTAGAGAAATTCCCCAGGGAAATAGGTCAAGGACAGGGATAGAAAAAGAGAAAAAACAGATAAAGGGCCAGGGATTTAGCTCAGTGGGGTCGTGCCTGTATGGCAAGCACAAGGTCCTGAGTTCGATTCCTTGTACGGGGGGTGGGGGGTGATGGGGGCAACAGATAAAGAAAGGCACCAAATGGCCTTGGGACTTGCACCAAGAGACCAGCAAAAGAGCTGTCAGGCAATACCCAGACAGAAAGCCTTGTACAAATGATAAGCCACTCCCACCTCCAATAAAATATAGGGGAAGTAAGGGAGGGGACTCACTTCAAGGCACTGCGTACTCACACCTATGCACTAACAATACAGTTACATACATGTGTATTCACTAGGGTCACCCAGTACAATAGATGCCCACACGCCCCCTTACTAACTCTAAGCTAACCATGAATAAGGCACCTCCTTACCAAGGAGCCGCCCACCCCAACGATAAGGCCTTAAAAGGTAGGTCAAGGACAAGTAAACAGCCGGAGGGGCAGCCCTGAGACCACCAGAAGGGATGAGGTAGGCAGAGGTTGCGCAGGTTCGGGGTTGGGTTGGGTGGGGGAAGGCCGCTCACTCCGCCCTGAAAGCCGCCTGGAGCACCAGCCTAGGTCCTCCACTTTCCGGAGCTGGCGACGGGAGTCTCTCTTAGCCAGGTGGCTACCTCCCTCCTCCTTTCTGCTCCCTTCCTTCTCCTCTTTTGCTGGGGCGGAGTTTGCCGTCCTGGTGGGCTGCTTGGACTGCAGAGCAGCAGTGCTAGTTCCCCAGATGTCACATCTTTGGTTCCCTGACCGGGAGCCAGATGTGACAATGGCGAGACCTTATCTCAAAACCAAAACCAAAACCAAAATCAAAATAATAATAATATTAAAAGATAAAAATGTTGGGCCGGGAATTTAGCTCAGTGGTTCCAACGCCTGCCTCGCAAGTGTAAGGTCCCGAGTTCCATCCCCAGTACAAAAAAAAAAAAAAAAAAAAAAAAAAAAAAAAAAAAAAATCAAAAAATGTTTTCTCAGACTTGTATAGAATGGAAAATAAACTGTTATATGATTTCAATGAAGAATTAAGAATGAAAATTTAGTATGTAATGTGATTTATAACTAGATAAAAACTTCATGCTTAAAGTTAGAAGGACATGTTCTTCATGTTTATCTTTCAGGACTGAAATCACAAATTGTATCTTTCTTCTATTTTTTCTGAATTCTATCTTATTGATGTTTTATAAATTAGTATTAGGATAATCCAAATAGTATAAGAGAGTATTATGATAGCCCACCCCAAAGATGTCCATGCCATCCCAGAACCTGAGAATGAATGTTACCTTACACGATGAAGGGGAGCTTGCAAATGTGATTCAGTTAACTTTCTCATGAGATAAATAATGGAGCTGGTCATGGTGGTGGACACCTGTAATCCCAGCGCTGGGGAGACTAAGGCAGGAGGATTGCTGTGAGTTTGAGGCCAGCCTGGGATACATAGTGAGACCCTGTCTCTAAATTAATTAATTAATTAATTAGAATAAATAAGCAGCGGTTACAGAAATTACTTAGTAATAATACAATACCACAATGGATATGTCATGCTTATCTTTCCAAACTGCCTTTCACCTATAGTAACTTTTAGAATATGAATAACTATTTCTGGGATTGTCTTTTCTAGAATATTGGAATGATGTCCATCCCTATGTGCATGAAAGAGAGAGGTTGGTATAATTCTTTGGGTTTTGGGTTGGTTTGCTTGCTAGCTTTTAGAAAATTAAGGACTTCAGCTTATTTAAAGAATGCAAAAAAATACAAAAAATAAAGAATAAATTTTTAATATTTTGAATTTGTTATGTTTAGATCTAAAATGTCCCCCAAAAGCCTCCATGTCTGGAAGGTGATGGGATCATGGGGCTGTGCTCAGTGATGAGTTCATAACTGTGTGTGGCATTAGGAGGCCTGGTAGGAGGGGAAGGGTCACTGGGGGGTGGACTGGAAGGGTGAATTCCGGTCCCCTGCTCCTCCCTTCTCTCTCTCTGCTTCCTGGTTGTCATGTAGGGTGCAGCTGTTCCTCTGCCAGGCCTTCCATCATGTCATTCTTTTGCTTTTTGGTTGCTTTTTTGAGACAGGGTCTTGCTATGTAGCTCAGGCTGGACTCAAACTCCCAAGGATCCTCCCTCCTCTGCTTTGGAGCCAACCAACCATGGACTGTTCTCTGAACACTGTGAGCCAAATAAACTTCTCTTCCTTTAAACTATGGGTGGCAGGTGTTTTGTCCCAGCCAGGAAGGTGGCTAAGACAGAGCTGAATGATAAATATAATTACACTGTGCTGGATCTTTTTTTTTGAGCCAAGACTCCACAGCCAGCAAAACTGATTTATTTTAAATATAAAAGGTATAAACTCAAAAATTACTAGCTCCTTGTATTAGTCACCTTTCTTTTATTTCTAATTTATTTTTATTGGATAGATCGCATTCATCATGGGGAATTTACCTATACATGATGTAACTTGCTTCTTTTTTCCCCATTCCTCTCCCCTTCCTTCCACCCCTCTTCCCCTTCTTATTTACAAAAGCTTTGTTTCCATTTTCTTCTTTCTATTCTCTTTTTTCTTCTCTCTTCCTTTTCTTCTGCCTCCTTCTCTCTTGTTCTCCTTCCCATTTGAACATTTTCTTCCCATTTCCCAATATCTATTATACATTTTCATCCTTATTCATACTTTCAGTTTCTCATACCAGAGAAATCATATGATATTTAAACACATATGTCTAATTTATTTCTCTTAACAGTCTGGTCTCAAAGTGCATCCATTTTGCTAGCAATATCTCAAGCTTATCCTTTTTATGGCAGAGTAATATTCTGTCATATAAAAAGAAACCAAATCTTCTTTATCCATTCATTAGTTGATGGGCATTTAGGCTGTTTCCAAGATTTAGCTATTATAAACTGTGCCACTAAAAACATGAGTCTGCATATATCATTGTGGTATGATGCTTTTGATTCTTTCAGTAAGATAACAAGAAGGGGAATAGCTGGGTCAAATGTAACCTCTAGTTTTATTTAGTTTTTGACGAATCTCCACACTGATTTCCATAGTGGTTGCCTCAGGCCACACTCCCACCAACAATGGAGAAGAGTTCCTTTTTCCCCGTAGCCCTGCCAGCATTTGTTATTGGTTGCTTTCTTCTTTTCTTTCTTTCTTTCTTTCTTTCTTTCTTTCTTTCTTTCTTTCTTTCTTTCTTTCTTTCTTTCTTTCTTTCTTTCTTTTCTTTCTTTCTTTCTTTCTCTTTCCTTCCTTCCTTCCCTCCCTCCCTCCTTTTTCTTTCTTTCTTTCTTTTCTTTCTTTCTTTCTCTCCCTTCCCCTCTCTCTCTTCCTTCCTTCCTTCCTCCCTCTCTCTCTCTCTCTCTCTCTCTCTCTCTCTCTCTCTCTCTCTCTCTCTTTCTTTCTTTCCTGAGACAGGGTCTTGCTATGTAGATCAGGCTGGCCTTGAACTCACTATGTACTCTGGCCTGGCCTCAAACTTACTATGTAGACCAGGCTGGCCTCAAACTCACAGTGATCCTCCTGCTTCAGCCTCCCAAATGCTAGGATTATAGGCATATGCCACCATGCCCAGCTGATCTCTTGATAATAGCCATTCTTTCTGGAGTGCAATAGAATTTCAGTGTTGTTTTACTTTGTATCTCTTGAATGACTAGGGATGTTAAACATTTATTCATGTATTTATTTGTCATTTGTACTTCTTCATCTGAGAAGTGTCTATTCATTTTTCTCTTCTTTTTTGCTTTTTGGGGTTTTTTTGAGACAGGATCTCACTATGTAGTTCAAGCTGGCCTTAAACTCATTATGGAGCCCAGGCTGGCCTTGAACTTGCAGCAATCCTCTTGCCTCAGCCTCCAAAGTGCTGGGATTACAGATGTGTGGTGCCATGCCCAGGTGTGCTGGATCATTTCATTCAAACAGCAAAGTGGGTGGGGAATCAGGGCTTGTCAAATATATTTTATGCACATGAGCACATATGTAGACATGCAAAGTTATGTTTTTAACTGACCAAAAGTCAGAAAAATATCAGAATTGCATTAGTATTATGCATTTCTGGGTTTTGTTGGGAGCCATGTTTGGCTAACACTGAATAGTTGTATATTTATTCTGTAAACTTAAGTTTCTCGTCTCAATTTTAGCAAAATCACTGATAGTATAAAAAAGATTTCCACATTATTTCAGTTTTGTGGACACTAATGATGTGTAAAGGATTAAAAAATAAAATGTAACTGTATTCCAACAT